ACCGATAAATGATTTAATTTAAAAATACAGGAATAGTTTTATTGTCAGGAGGGGGTTTGTAGATATTGTAGTAATTTTAATAGTTGAGATCATGAGACAATTGAAGCTAGAGTACCATAGAACACCTGAAAGCACTGGAAGGCCGTTTCGAGACTGATAGGTCCTGGGTTCGAATCCCGCAGGGTGGAGTCGTGAATGAGCACTGTTGAGAAGTCCAATACTAGGACGAAACGACCGTACAGTGATTCCAGGTTTTCCATGGTGATCTGGCTTCAAAAGTTTCATGATCTCAACTATTGAAGTTTTATTTTTGTCACTTACTTACTTATATACCCTGTTACTCCTCACGAAGGAGCATAGGCCGCTCACCAGCATTCTCCATCCAACCCTGTCCTGGGCAATCCTTTCAAGCTATTTCCAGTTGTTATTCACCCTTTTCATATCTGCTTCTATTTCCCGACGTAATATGTTCTTTGGCCTTCCTCTTTTCCGCTTCCCTTCAGGATTCCAAGTTAGGGCTTGTCTCGTGGTTCAGTTTGATGATTTGCGTAATGTATGTCCTATCCATTTCCATCGTCTTTTCCTAATTTCCTCTTCAGCTGGAAGTTGGTTGGTTCTCTCCCACAGAAGGCTGTTGCTGATGGTATCCGGCCAATGGATGTTGAGTATCTTGCGTAGACAGCTATTGATAAATACTTGTACCTTCTTGATGGTGGTTGTTGTAGTTCTCCACGCTTCGGCTCCGTACAGTAGAACTGCCTTGACGTTTGTATTGAAGATTGTGACTTTGATATTGGTTGAAAGTTGTTTTGAGTTCCATATGTTCTTTAATTGAAGGAATGCAGCCCTTGCTTTGCCAATCCTTGCGTTTACGTCTGCATCTGAACCTCCTTGTTCATTGATGATACTTCCCAGGTATGTGAAGGATTCCACATCTTCCAGAGTTTCGCCATCAAGAGTGATTGGATTGCTGTTATTCGTGTTGTATTTGAGGACCTTAGTTTTCCCCTTGTGTATGTTGAGGCCTACTGATGCAGAGACTGCTGCTATGCTGGCTGTCTTTATCTGCATTTGTTCGTTTGTATGCGGTAGGAGGGCTAGGTCATCTGCTAAGTCCCAATCTTCTAATTGGTTTTGAGCTGTCCATTGTATGCCGTGTTTTCCCTCAAATGTCGAGGTCTTCATAATCTAGTCGACCACCAGAAGAAAGAAGAAAGGAGAGAGTAGACAGGCTTGTCTTACTCCGGTCCTTACTTGGAATGCATCTGTCAGCTGTCCTCCATGCACTACTTTGCACTGCAGTCCGTCGTATGAGTCCCGGATAATGTTGACAATCTTCTCAGGAACTCCGTAGTGTTGAAGAAGTTTCCATAACGTTCTCCTATCTACACTGTCAAATGCCTTCTCATAATCAATGAAGTAGATGTACAGTGACGAGTTCCACTCAATTGATTGTTCGACGATGATCCGTAGTGTCGCAATCTGGTCTGTGCACGACCGATCCTTACTGAATCCAGCTTGTTGATGTCGAAGCTGGACGTCTACTGAATCTTTCTTCCGGTCGAGAAACACTCTGTTGAAGACTTTTCCTGGTACTGACAGTAGTGTGATGCCTCTGTAGTTTTCACACTTGCTCAGATCATTCTTTGGAATCTTGATAAGGTGTCCTTCTTTCCAGTCCATCGGCACTTGTTCTTCCTCCCAAATCTTCTTGAATAGAAGATGAAGCATGTTCGTAGTTACTTCGATGTCTGACTTCAGTGCTTCAGCTGGTATATTGTCGGGTCCTGCTGCCTTCCCGCTCTTGATTTGTCTGATGGCCATTCTGATTTCTTCGGTCGTTGATGGATTGAGATCTATAGGAAGATCTGTGTGTGTTGCTTCGATGTCCGGTGGATTCATTGGAGCCGGCCTATTCAGGAGTTCCTCGAAGTATTCTACCTCTCTGTTCTTGAATCTCGGTGATTGTCTTGCCTTTGTCATTGACCGATTTCTGTGGTTTACTATATTTCCCTGCTAGTTTCTTCGTTGCATCGTAAAGCTGTTTCATATTTCCTTCTCTTGCAGCTTTTTCCGCCGTTGTTGCTAGTTCTTCTACGTATTTCTGCTTGTCGTCTCTAATGCTATTTTTCACTTGCTTGTTTGATTCTATGTACTCAGCTTTTGCTTGGACTTTCTGTGTTCTTGTTTGGCTGTTGTTAATTGCTGTCATCTTGTTTTTCCTTTCTATGATCCTGTCCAGTGTTTCTATAGAGATCCATTCCTTGTGATGATGCTTCTTGGGGCCCAGAACCTCTTGACACGTTGAAGTTAATGCTTCTTTGGTACCTTTCCAGTTATCCTCCATATTAGTTTCTTCTTCCTTCAGTAGATCCTGTAGGGCTTGGAACCTGTTGTTGAGAGCTATCTTGAATTCATTGAGTTTTTCAGCATCTCGAAGGAAGGCTGTATTAAACCAATGTAGTGCTGTTTGTCCAGTTGTCCATTTCTTCTTTAGCTTCAGTTTTAAATTGGCCACAACCAGGTGGTGATCTGAAGCTATGTCCGCTCCTCTCCTGGTTCTCACATCTTCCATTGTCCTTCGGAACTTTTTATTGATGCAAATATGATCTATCTGATTCTCTGTGGTGCGGTCCGGTGAGATTCATGTAGCTTTGTGTATGTGTTTGTGTGGAAATATTGTACCGCCTATGACCAATTTGTTGAATGCACATAGATTTACAAATCTTTTCCCGTTTTCGTCCCTCTCTCCCAGTCCATGCAGTCCCATGATATCTTCATATCCGGTGTTGTCTATTCCGACTTTGGCGTTTAGATCTCCCATCAGAATGGTGAGGTCCTTTCTTGGGCACTTCTCTATGATTGATTGCAGCCTCTCATAGAATTGATCTTTAACGTCGTCGTTGCTATTATTGGTGGGTGCATAACATTGGATAATGTTCATTGTGATCCCCTCCTTCTTTGTTTTGAATGATGCTTTGATGATTCTGGATCCGTGAGATTCCCATCCTACAAGTGCATTTCGTGCTACTTTGGACAGCATTAGAGCAACTCCGTGCGTGTGTGGAGCATTTTCCTCTTCGTGACCGGCTCACTAACTTCTGGTCTGAGCCATGTTGGTAGATGCAGACTGCCTGGTTGGGGTCCGCGTGACTATCGTAACCAATGGTTCGAGACTCTTGGTGACATGGCTCAGAATCGATCACAATGGCGTCGGTGTATACACTCTGTCTCCCTTTAAACTAAGAGATTAAAATCACTTCAAATCTTTTTTTCTACGAACTAATTCTATCTTCCTGTACTATCTCCTTATACACACTCTTCTATATATTACCACCACTGAATTAACTACTTCTATGAATCCGGTGTTCATCTTGTTGTGCTAATGCGGTATGGTAACTTAGACCGATGCATATACGTGCCTGGTCCTACGTTGCAGCTGACTGACTGACTGACTAACTGCCAAGTTGTATCTCTTCGTTTCCGTTGCTATTCGACTGGTCTTCCTGATCTCCCACATTGTCCGGACGTTCCATGTACCTATAAAAATTGTTGTTCTGGTTGTTAGAAGGGGCATCGGCCTTATGGCTTCCAAAGGAACTCGGCTTTCACCCTGATGTGTCGTATTTCTTCTAAATGAAGACCTTCTAACTCCCAGGGCAGAGTTTAAATGGTTTGAGTTATTTTTTCTGGTTAGTGTTTTTTGCGGGTTGGTTTTTGACTAGTTAGGGTCGCTGATCCCATGCCCAACCCTCCTCCTTTACCCGGGTTTGAGACTGGCAGTAACTGTAGAAGAGCTACAGGCGGACTTGTTACTTATTAAGTTGTTTTAATAATCGGAATTTTTTTAAGTTATTATTTTATTTATTTATTTTAACACATAGATATCGGTACAAAGAAGTACAAAATACATATGCGCCACATAGATCTCATTTGATATGTGTGGGGGCTGTGATACTGCCCGGGTGCCCAAAACGAAGCAAGTGGTTTTGTTAGGGGGCCACACCCTGAGCCTTCGACCTAAAGGTTTAACCCACAAGGTAGTGGAGCATCGTAAGGAGATGCAGTCCCATGGTAGCCGGTGACCAACGATTGGTTCTTACGCCATTTGTTCCTTCAGGATACTGGAGCCCATGTGCACCATTGATTTGGGATCCGGTTATAGCGCCGGACATTCGCTTTTCGTCCTCTCATTTTCGTAAACAACACCCCCGCCACGAGAAGGCAGTGAGTAGGACTTCCCTGGCAGAGGCTGTATACGCGTGGCCATGTGAGAGCATTTCGAGAGGGAGAGCGGACTCTCCCAACTCTCGGCTGTACCAGGGCGTTTGGGGGCTTTGTCAAGTTAATAATTGCTATTGAAATTATCAAATAAGCTTTTTCTTCACGTAAGTTGTCTGTCCTCATTGTTAAATAGTCTACCAAATCAGTTGTTTTTTTTTTGTTAAAAGGCACTATTACACAAACATTATGAGTTTACTTAAGTTAGCGTTTAGCCGTGTGTATAATTCTAAGTGTTAAAAATTATTTGGTTGATTTAATTATCATACGTTTTCTGGGAATTTTTGTCAGGATGTCGTATTTACGGAAAAGTAAAGTTTAAAAAAAGCCAACATTTTAAATGTGTAACAACGAATGTTCTTATTGGTTCAATTTATACTGTGAGATGATGATGGATTTGCTATGGTGATTGAAAAAATCTTTTAAATAATTTTATTTATTCTTATATGTGTGATGACCTTTCCAAGTGTGTATCAGTCAAGCATAACTAACTTTTTAATAGTTTTTTTAATTTGACTCGCATTTACCGGAAGAAAAACTGAAATCTTCATCTCATCAAGCATTATTTGAGTAGGTGAGTAGTTTCATCGTCTCTCATATCACAGTCGTTACTTACAGCTTAGTACTTGAAGCAGTAATCAATCATTAAGTTTGATTTTTTCTTATTTAAGTATAGGGACTCAACTTTTGTTCAACATAAGTATAAAATAAAATATTCTGACTAGAATATTTCTCAAATATGATTCTTATTAGGTTCTAAAAAGTTTGGTAAATTGAGCTAGATATATTAACAAGTATATTTTCCTATAATATACATAATGCGGTGACTAGATGACTGTAGCGTTTAGTTTTCAGTCATCAGGTTACTGTTTCAGACCCTTTCTTATATATATATACTCATAAATCTTTTTTTGTGTTTTTCTTTAGCATATGAGCCCAGATGACTGTTATTTAAGCAGTGTTTGTGTTGATCGTACAGTTAGTGAACAATTATTAAATAAAGATGATCGTCCAATGCTGCTACTTGATCAGTTACGTGAAGAATCAGCTAGAATATCACAATTCACTCGATTCGAATTACGTTTTGTTGAAGATCCCCCTACCGGTCCTAGCGTCTCCTTGTTTGTAGGTAATCTTAAAGAAAACCTATCACAACGATTATATGAACGTGTATTATTAGACAAATTAGGTGAAAAATGTCGTTGGGATTCAATTGAAGTAATATATTATGAAAGTGGTTGCCTTGTTTTAAATTATCACTCAAGTGAAAAAGCTGAACAAGCTTATGAATTACTAAATGTATGTCATTAACGTTTTACAAATTAATTCCACTTTATTTATTTATCATTTTCATTGAAATCGTGAAAGGATTTAAGCTAAATCACAATTGAAAACCTAGAAGCTCTGGACAGACATTTCTCAGTATGGGACTCCTCAGAAAGGAGCGATCATCCAATGCTTCCAAGTTTTTACTGGTGGTCTGACTTAGATCCGTACATAATTTCTATGAAAGTCAACAATTTCCACAAACTGTTATTAACTTTATTATTCTCTTTATATGATCTGTTTTCGCCTTAATGTTTAAGATGAAATTCTGTCGTAGCTGCTTTTAGTCCACCTGTAAATGAAAAAAACCTATTTTATGAAAGCTAACAGATATTTATAAATTTCACTGGTTGAAATCATTTATAAAGCCTGTCAAAATAATGGGCAAATGGCGAAGTAAACATTTTGAGAGGAACAGTCAGTCATAAGCAATTTAGAACCTGACATATTGTGCACCTAGTTAGCTTTTCTTGCCAGGGTTGTTTTCTGAGGCATGTGGTTGATCATCCCATGCCCAACTCTCCTCCGTTACCCGGGCATGGGACCGGAAATAACCCTGGAAGCGCTATAGGCTGAGTTAAAGGGGCAGTCTTCACGCATCAGCCGAACTGTCACGTAAAAACCATCCACAGGTTCTATCCCGCTAGGACTTTTGCCAGCTGAGTTTCCCCCTGTACCGTCCGTCCCTCCTTGCACGACTTGGACAACCCTCCCTCCGATGCGTCATCCATATCGGCGTCGTACTTAGTGTGGAAGCCCGATCAACATGAGCACCCATATGTCAGTACTCTCGGTCCCACGAAATTCGTCACCCTGGCCTTCAAGTATCTAACTTACTGGCGGACGCCACCACGGACTGCACTGCATAGTTGTGGATGGAGGACAGTTGACGCAGTGTTTGTGTTGATCGTACAGTTAGTGAACAATTATTAAATAAAGATGATCGTCCAATGCTGCTACTTGATCAGTTACGTGAAGAATCAGCTAGAATATCACAATTCACTCGATTCGAATTACGTTTTGTTGAAGATCCCCCTACCGGTCCTAGCGTCTCCTTGTTTGTAGGTAATCTTAAAGAAAACCTATCACAACGATTATATGAACGTGTATTATTAGACAAATTAGGTGAAAAATGTCGTTGGGATTCAATTGAAGTAATATATTATGAAAGTGGTTGCCTTGTTTTAAATTATCACTCAAGTGAAAAAGCTGAACAAGCTTATGAATTACTAAATGTATGTCATTAACGTTTTACAAATTAATTCCACTTTATTTATTTATCATTTTCATTGAAATCGTGAAAGGATTTAAGCTAAATCACAATTGAAAACCTAGAAGCTCTGGACAGACATTTCTCAGTATGGGACTCCTCAGAAAGGAGCGATCATCCAATGCTTCCAAGTTTTTACTGGTGGTCTGACTTAGATCCGTACATAATTTCTATGAAAGTCAACAATTTCCACAAACTGTTATTAACTTTATTATTCTCTTTATATGATCTGTTTTCGCCTTAATGTTTAAGATGAAATTCTGTCGTAGCTGCTTTTAGTCCACCTGTAAATGAAAAAAACCTATTTTATGAAAGCTAACAGATATTTATAAATTTCACTGGTTGAAATCATTTATAAAGCCTGTCAAAATAATGGGCAAATGGCGAAGTAAACATTTTGAGAGGAACAGTCAGTCATAAGCAATTTAGAACCTGACATATTGTGCACCTAGTTAGCTTTTCTTGCCAGGGTTGTTTTCTGAGGCATGTGGTTGATCATCCCATGCCCAACTCTCCTCCGTTACCCGGGCATGGGACCGGAAATAACCCTGGAAGCGCTATAGGCTGAGTTAAAGGGGCAGTCTTCACGCATCAGCCGAACTGTCACGTAAAAACCATCCACAGGTTCTATCCCGCTAGGACTTTTGCCAGCTGAGTTTCCCCCTGTACCGTCCGTCCCTCCTTGCACGACTTGGACAACCCTCCCTCCGATGCGTCATCCATATCGGCGTCGTACTTAGTGTGGAAGCCCGATCAACATGAGCACCCATATGTCAGTACTCTCGGTCCCACGAAATTCGTCACCCTGGCCTTCAAGTATCTAACTTACTGGCGGACGCCACCACGGACTGCACTGCATAGTTGTGGATGGAGGACAGTTGACGCAGTGTTTGTGTTGATCGTACAGTTAGTGAACAATTATTAAATAAAGATGATCGTCCAATGCTGCTACTTGATCAGTTACGTGAAGAATCAGCTAGAATATCACAATTCACTCGATTCGAATTACGTTTTGTTGAAGATCCCCCTACCGGTCCTAGCGTCTCCTTGTTTGTAGGTAATCTTAAAGAAAACCTATCACAACGATTATATGAACGTGTATTATTAGACAAATTAGGTGAAAAATGTCGTTGGGATTCAATTGAAGTAATATATTATGAAAGTGGTTGCCTTGTTTTAAATTATCACTCAAGTGAAAAAGCTGAACAAGCTTATGAATTACTAAATGTATGTCATTAACGTTTTACAAATTAATTCCACTTTATTTATTTATCATTTTCATTGAAATCGTGAAAGGATTTAAGCTAAATCACAATTGAAAACCTAGAAGCTCTGGACAGACATTTCTCAGTATGGGACTCCTCAGAAAGGAGCGATCATCCAATGCTTCCAAGTTTTTACTGGTGGTCTGACTTAGATCCGTACATAATTTCTATGAAAGTCAACAATTTCCACAAACTGTTATTAACTTTATTATTCTCTTTATATGATCTGTTTTCGCCTTAATGTTTAAGATGAAATTCTGTCGTAGCTGCTTTTAGTCCACCTGTAAATGAAAAAAACCTATTTTATGAAAGCTAACAGATATTTATAAATTTCACTGGTTGAAATCATTTATAAAGCCTGTCAAAATAATGGGCAAATGGCGAAGTAAACATTTTGAGAGGAACAGTCAGTCATAAGCAATTTAGAACCTGACATATTGTGCACCTAGTTAGCTTTTCTTGCCAGGGTTGTTTTCTGAGGCATGTGGTTGATCATCCCATGCCCAACTCTCCTCCGTTACCCGGGCATGGGACCGGAAATAACCCTGGAAGCGCTATAGGCTGAGTTAAAGGGGCAGTCTTCACGCATCAGCCGAACTGTCACGTAAAAACCATCCACAGGTTCTATCCCGCTAGGACTTTTGCCAGCTGAGTTTCCCCCTGTACCGTCCGTCCCTCCTTGCACGACTTGGACAACCCTCCCTCCGATGCGTCATCCATATCGGCGTCGTACTTAGTGTGGAAGCCCGATCAACATGAGCACCCATATGTCAGTACTCTCGGTCCCACGAAATTCGTCACCCTGGCCTTCAAGTATCTAACTTACTGGCGGACGCTACCACGGACTGCACTGCATAGTTGTGGATGGAGGACAGTTGACGCATGCACTCCAATTTAGGACCGGTGTCAGACAAAGATGCTTACTTTCCCCCTTTCTCTTTCTTCTGGTGGTTGACTGGATTTTTAAGACTTCCATATCTGAGGGGAAGCATGGAATACAATGGACAGGTTGAATGCAACTAGACGATTTGGACTTCGCGGATGACCTAGCTTTTTTATTCCATACCCACGAACAAAAGCAGGTCACGACAACCAGTGTGACAGGAGTTTCTGCATCAGTAGGCCTCAGCGTATACAGAGAAAAGCTCAGGATCGTCAAATACAACACAGAGAACATCAACTCAATCGCACTTAATAGAGAAGCTCTGGATGAAGTGGAAACCTTCACATACCTGGACAGCATGATCGATAAACTAGGGGGATCTGATGCAGACGTAGTGGCGAGGATCGGTAAGGCAAGAACAGCATTCCTACAGTTGAAGAATATATGAAACTCAAAACAATCATCTGCAAGGTGAGAATCTTCAATATGAACGTCAAAACAGCTCTACTGTACAGAGTTGAAACTACGACAGCCATCGTCATGAAAGTATAAGTATTTAAAAACATTTCGATAGAACAATTAGAAGACGGAGTTGATCTGAAAAATGTGATGTGTTTGCGCTATACATTTCGAACCATCTGGTCACACATATACTTGTCAGGGCATTTTATATGGAAATTAATAAAGGTCATCAAATGAAAGTTCAAGTACAAAAAATAACAAAGGGGAGAGAAAGAATAAGAAATTGTCGCGTTATCCTTTATTAATTTTTATATAAAATGCCCTGACAAGTATATGTGTGGCCAGATTGTTCGAAATGTATAGCGCAAATACATCACATTTTTCAGATCAACTCCATCTTCTCATTGTTCTATCGATATTTATAAACAAATGTCTACACAAGATATTCAATGTCCGTTGGCCAGATACAATGAGCAACAACCTACCGTGGGAGAGAATAAACCAGTTTCTAACTGAAGAGGAAATTAGAAGACTGGAAGTGGATAGGATATATATTACGGAAATCATCAAACTGCATCACGAGGAAAGCACTAACTGAAGGGAAACGGAAAAGAGGAAGACAAAATAATACACTGTGTCGTTAATTGGAAGCAGACGCCATAAGAATGAATAGCAACTGGAAACAAGTGGAAAGTATTGCGTAGGATAGAGTTGAATAGAGAATGTTTGTGGGCGGCCTATGCTTCATGAGAGGTAACAGGCGTAAATAAGTATATTGTGCACCGATTCAATTCGCTACACCATGTAATCCTTTCAAGAGAAAATTATTAAGAATAATGCAAGAATAGTAAAAGTATCACTGAAAGTAGTAAACACTATTCGTTACTAATATTACTCGAAAAGGGAAAAATGTATTTATTGAATAAAAATGTACAAGTCTTTCAGAGTGAAGAATGGATACATTTACACTATTGTTATCTATTCTATGCTATTCAATGTTTACAACCATTCCGTACTAATTTATACAGTTTCTTTTTATTTCATTGCAATATTTGCATATATAAATCTATACTTTAATAGGAATCTATATTTATGAATAAACCACTAACTGCTCTACTTCTTCCAACAATTCGCCCACAAAATTTACCTAAAGGAATTCAACCACTTTTAGTATTTGTCAATTTAAAATCTGGCGGTTGTCAAGGTGTCGATTTAATTGTTGCTTTTCGTCGATTACTCAATCCATTTCAGGTAAGCGTAAATATGTTTTCCTGTGTTAGTATATTTCAATGTATGTTTTATTTTCATTTGTTTCGTTCACTAATTTACTGTCTACACAACTATCGCTTATAAAAGAATTGTAATATTGTTTTATATACACTTTTTTTATCCCGTTAACAATCCGTACCATTTATTGCAGCTCATTTCTTACGTCTTTTGAATTTAGTTTCCAAGTGTAATTGATTCACTTGTGTATGTGATCAATGATGTTTTTTTCATTGATATCTTCTCTAATGACTTATTTTTTTCGAAAGTACTTATTCGTTTAATATAATTGATATCCGTTATTCTCATACTTTTTTCACTTTCTCTTTCTTCTCGACTTCCCAATCACGATATCAGGCTGGGGTTAAACTTCACTTTTCCAATTTATCTGAGTGTATCGTAGTCAGTAATGACGGTTACGTTTTTTATTTAGTCACTCATTTGTATGTATTTTAAAGTAATTTCTATCATAGAATTAATTGGAGGCATGTCGTTTGCTGTGTTGCAATTTTTGATGGAGTTTTATTCTCTGAGCTGGGTGTTTTGGAAAAGTATACACAAACTTAGGAACACAAATCAAACCAACGGGAGATACAACCAAAACAAAGAAATAAACAATGACAGGTTTAAGGTCAACAAGAACCAATCAACATCGAGGCGTACAGGACAAGCTGTGAACCACATGTGGAGAAATTTGAATACTTAACTTCTAGCTGAAGTTTGTACTGATGAAAGCTCCACGACCAAGTCATCCAGCTCAGAGAACAAAACTCCATCAAGATTATCCACCTGAGCTACAAATCTACCACACCAGTTGTTTTACAATGTTTCTCCCATCATGACTGACTTGCCTACACGTTATGATTATATATATGATTATATATATAAAGTAGTGTAATCATCTCTTATTTCAATAATTTACAATTTAATTATTGGTTAATATTGTGTGATGCTTAATAGTGTGGCGTATATATATCTGGTGCCCTCTTGTACCAATATTTATGTGTTCAAATAAATAAGTCAATAGATGCTTAATTTTATACATTGTTCATGCCCAAAATATTACATCATTTAACGATTCTTCTACCTTATTTCCATTGAATTTTTAAGAAAAAATTAGGTTTACATACGAATTAAATAATTTGTAATTTGAATTTGTTCAATTATTTTTATAAATTAAATGAGAATAATCACTTGGGTATTATTCTGTTGCTGATTTCGAATGATCTGCTGTTTTGTTGTTGTTTTAGATTATTATTATTATTTGAATACATAGATATTGGTATAAGGGGGCACCAAATACATATTCGCCACACAAATCTCATTTGATTTTTGTGAGGGCTGTGATGCTGCTCGAATGCTCAAACCGAAGCAGGTGGTTTTGTTAGGGGGCCACACCCGCAGCCTTCGATCTAAAGGTCTGATCCACAAGGCAGTGGAGCATCGTAAGGAGATGCAGTCCCATGGTAGCCGGTGACCAACGACTGGTTCATACGCCGTTTGTTCTCTCGGGATTCTGGAGCCCATGTGCACCATTGGTTTGGAATCAAGGTTTTCCAACTCCTTTAGGTGGACTAACCGTGTCCACCGGCCCGGTCAAACCGCCAGACATTCGCTTTTCGTCCTCTCAATTTCGTAAACAACACCCGCGCCACGAGAAGGCAGTGAGTAGGACTTTCCTGGTAGAGGCTATATACGCGTGGCCACGTGAGAGCATTTCGAGAAGGAGAGCTGACTCTCCCCACTCTCGGCCGTACTAGGGCGTTTGGGGGCGTTGTTTTAGATATTTTCATTTCAATGAAGTGTACAATTTTATTTTGTTAGATATGACATTATGACTAATTTTTTAACTGTTCAAATCCAATTAACATAATTATATTTAGACTAAATAAATATTATTATTATTAATTTTTGTTAATAATTAGTCTACTTTGTAATTTATTACATTAAACTTTATCTTATGATTGGTTTGTAGTGTATATTTCTTTCATTTAGCCTGTTACAAATGAATAATGAATATTTAACATCGAATTCATAATCAAATATATTTAATGCGTTTTTGTTTTGTCATTTTATTATAAACAATGAAACTTTTGCAAATATCATCATGAATGTTGATGAACTTTACCCACTTGCTTAAATATCAAATATGACATTTCGATAGTAATGTATGCAGTTTATTTATTTGTTCGACTTCAGTCATCATTTCATTGTTGTCCCACTGTTTTTGTTCTTTTTTTACTAGGTATTTAACCTTGATTATGGTGGTCCTTTGCCTGGTCTATATTGCTTTCGTCATTTAGCCTCATATAAGATTCTTGTTTGTGGTGGAGATGGTACAGTAGGATGGACATTGTCATGCTTGGATATTGTTGGACAGGATGCAGCATGTAACGCTCCTCCTATTGCTCCTCTTCCTCTTGGGACTGGTAATGATCTATCTCGTGTTCTTCGATGGGGTTCTGGTTATTCATCAGCTGATGATCCTCTAACTATTTTAAAGGATGTAGTTGCCGCTGAAGAAGTGAAGTTAGACCGGTAGATAACATTATTTGAATTCATATTTTATCGAAAATTACTCATACGACTATAGTTTAAATCACTGACTGATTTTAGCCAACCGCTGTGCATCAGAAAGCACTGAACAGAGCTGGTTCATTTTACTAGAGGACTGCTCATCAGTGTGTGTCAACCACCTCATCTGGGATCCTACCCATGACCTTCAGGTTTAGCAGCGGGTACTCAACGTTTAGTCACTCGATGGGAATCCAGTGGTTCACATTTTGTAATACTGATTTATTCGCGATATCGCACACCCAGCTTCCGATACCATTGATAAATAACTGTTTCGCACCACAGACATGGTTGAATTCTACTGGTTAGAGCTTCTCATTAGAACTCCGGGAATTTCCTAACGAAATTAGTCATTAATGAGGACACAGTTGTTATTGATGATGACACCACAAAATACTGATTTTCATGAATGTTAACTATAATATTTAACAATCTCTACAAAACTATCAGCTACGTACTTATATAATTATGTTTATCTTATGAACTTCTGGACTTTTGATAATTGTGTTCTTTACTCAGTAGCATTTTGTTTATCGTATTGAAGAAATGGAACTTTTTTAATATTTTGTTTTAATAAACCTACTTAACTTTCAGAGATTACAGAAGGAACTAATTGATGATACATTAGTCTCTTGTCAAATGCAAACTCAAATCATTTTTCTTCCCTACTTGTATGACAAATCAATTGAGTAGTTGTAGACTATGTAGTAGTTATAATAAAAGTACAATATTTGTTAAACAGTTTATGCTTTCACCCTTGATAATGATCATTCTGAAATATTAGTTAGCAGGAAAGGTACTCTTATAAAACCGTGATTGAATTAATCTCAGTAGCGTTTTCCTTCAAACTTAGGCTTTTTAAATTGCTTTACTTTTTTATTCCGTGAGTTCATTCTTTCTTGAATCATAATTTCTATGCCTAATGCTTTTTACCTTCATTAATGGTGTTACTACTTCTATCGTTGTTATTTTCGTCTTGATAACTTCATGTTGTTGTGTTGATATGATATAGCAAATTGAATCGTTGTACAATGTGCCGGAATTCTAAATTTCTTTACCGATCGACCGACTTTATTTGTTTAAACAACATCCCCGTTATTACTTCCTTTTTATTACTACTGATAATCGCTTATAGATGGACGTTGATTGTTCGACCAGAAGAAGATTTTAAAGATGAAACAAAATTAGCTTTAGAATTGCAAACCAATGCATCGAATACAAATGAAGATAATTCAATTATGATTATTATGAATAATTATTTTGGCATCGGTATTGATGCTGATTTATCATTAGATTTTCATAATGCACGTTCCGAGAATCCATCAAAATTCAATAGCCGGTAAATTGTTGTAATTTTTCTGTATGTATCCCTTCTTCAATTTTTGTGCTCGTTTTTCATTCTTCCTTGTGCATATTAGAGATGATTGGAGGAGTCAGTCGTCAATAAATCTCAGGTATAAGGTGGTTACGTGTTATTTTCATTTTTAAAAGAACTAATTCTCTCTATGGGATTCGAACCCATGTCACTTATTGTCACAATCGGGAGCGTTTCTCCGTGAGCCAACCAAACGCCGACCGATCTCTTGAGGAAATAAGATATTTACGTTGGTTGTTCACTGATTAATAACCAATATTATGTTCTTTTATCGTAAGTGGTGAACATATTCTGTCGATCGAACCTGTGCCTAAATTGGTAAGATTTGATCTGACATGAAGGTAGTTAATGCTTTAAGGTAAAGATGCTTTTTCTACCGTGACATCGACATCATTTGGATAAATTATGTTAAAAATCAAGTAGTGTTGGGCAGTTTGTTTTTGTTTTCTGGCTTGCTAAAATTACTCAATAAATTTACTGATTCATATCTTCTAAAACTTTTGGAACCCTTAATGATCATTTCAGATTGTAGAAAACAAGGTTCACTACCAAACTAAGAGATATTTTCAGCTACTAACTAGGTCACTATAATGAAAACTATCTTCTTTTATTTTAAATACCGTACCTTTTTGTATGGTTCTTATAATACCGAAGGAAAACTGTATGTTTATATATTAGTATGTGATCAATTGCCTGAGTTGAAGTGAGTTTTTATCGTCAAGTGACAAGCACATGCGAAAACTAAACTACTGATGATGATGGATGGATATTAAGAGGTAGGACAAATGAGTTAAGAGTTGTTTTTTTCTACTAAGTGGACTTCTATATTCAAAATGTTAAGCACAGCATTAAGCATAATTAAATGTCATTCTAAGCATAAATGATTGTAGGATATATGAATATTATAGGATCAAATTATAATTTGTCTATCAGATATGTTTTTTTATTATTTGTCCTATCAGTTCTTCAGACAGCTTATCACATGTTTAGTATTTAATAAATATGGAAACGTTATTTTCACTTTTTTGTGTGAACATAACAACTAAGCTGTTGAAACATTTCATTGGTTATCAATCAGTTTTAGTATACTGTATTTTAATCTAATCTCTCTTTTTTACTGTTGTTAATAAATAGATTTCATTAAAAATGATAAGTATTGTTACAGATGTGTTTTATTTTATTTTTTTATATTCATTACGAATAATTACAGTCCATGGATATTTTGATTGTTTATTTTATTTCTTGTTTAGTATTCACAATAAAGGTGTTTATTTTAAAATTGGTTTAAGAAAAATAATTAATCGAACTATCTGCAAAGATTTACATAAACAAATTGTAGTTATTGCTGATGGGAAAATTGTCATATTGCCACCAATTGAAGGTTTAGTTGTATTAAATATTCTTTCTTGGGGTGGTGGGGCTAATCCATGGAATGTGGAAAAGCATGATGATGAATTTGTTAAACCTACACATTATGATGGTCTACTTGAAGTTGTTGGTATTTCTGGTGTAGTTCATATGGGACAAATCTATTCTGGTCTTGGCACTGGGATTCGTCTTGCCCAAGCAGCACATGTAATTTTGACTTTTTTTAAAATTGAAAATGATATGTTAGATTTCGCAAAATTAATGTTTTATTTCGAAGATTTATTAAAACACCACAGTGAATGTTAACAACATATTTTTTGAATCTTAAAATTATTCTTTTTTCCAAGTGTAGTTAATTTAACTATTTTCCAAAGTAGTCAATATATTTCGCTCACTTTATGTAGGTAAGCGCAGATGATGTTTTCCACAACGATAATGTTAATATACTTAACGATTAAATCATCAAGTTCAGAGAATACAAAACAATGTAAAACATCTGCCTAAATTAAACATCTTTACCGCTTCATGGTAAAATAAAGATAACGTAAATGAATTAAGATTTTTTTTAAACTAAAATTTTTGCAAGCCACCATTTATCACATACTTTAAAAGCCTTTAGCGAAAGTAGTTGGCACTCAAGTGATTGTTTATCCTTATTTGTAATTTAAAGTGTCTTTCTTCTTTGAAACATGACCACCAAATGTACATGTGTTCGATTATACGTGTCACTAAAGTATTCGTCACGTGTAACAGAACCATTAGGTTAAAAATGTTGATGTTAGATGTAATGTTTTAGGTAGGTAGATCAAATGAAAGGGTTATTGACTTACTCTGATTGCGGTAAGTAGCTCATATACTAAATGTGCTAACAACTACTCATCTTGACATATGTTAGGCGAATCAGACTAAAATATTAAGGATTTCATTGCTCTTAATTTATGTCTATCTTTTCCGGCACATCATTTTTAATCAGAATACTTTTTCTTGTTTAATTCTGTTGTTGCAAGGTCTACTTGATACTTAAACTTGAGAAAATTTGCGCAAAATCCCAAAATGTGATACTTTTTTTATTTTCTTGTTACAGTTTTTGCTGTGTAATCCGTTAAAGATTTTATTATCTTGTAAAACACATTTGTCCTAAAATAATGTCCAATTTCAAGTTACTTTTCTAGTTAGCGCGTGTTTTTAAGTGACGCGTTTTTTTTTCAGTTTAAAAAATAAGTCTTTTCTATAGACACTGAATTTAAAAGTAAACGATATGAAAATTCGTTCAACTATCCATCGAATATAGATTAAACTGATTGTGTTTTCTCTTCCATCTTATTTTATGCTAAGCTATTTATTTATTATTATTTATTTATTTATTTGAACACATAAATATTGGTACAGGGGGGCACCAAATATATATGCGCCACACAAAACAATGATAATTTGAAGAGAAGGAGAAAAGAGAAAAAAAAGTAATGAACGTGGGGAATTTTAAAAAAAAAAGGGAGAGAGAGAGAGAACAATGGTGGGGGAAACGGAAAGGTACAATCAAAAGAGGTCTTTCAGTTAAGGAAGATACAACCACTTTTTATGAAGAAAGTAAGAGGTTACAGCAGGATCGCCACTGGCTTCTATTCTTAGCCATATCTGATAACGTCTCTAGCCACTGTGTTACACCATCTCTACGACCCCAGCCAGGGAGTCGTGAAGGACCAACAGAAGCTAGCCCTTTGCAGCTTACTTTCATACCACGACACCATGTCATATACTGACCACCTCTCCGCTTTTTCCAACCAGTCCCAGAGTCGGCAAATAATGCACGACGTGGAATTCTCTGGGACGACATTCGTAGAACATGTCCAAGCCACCGGAGTCGGTGTTTCAAGATGGTGACACCAATTTCATTATCGTCTCTGTGACCGAACACTCGATGCCGAACCTCTGCATTACTGACATGGTGTTGCCACTGGATGCCAGCAATCCTTCGGAGACAACGATGATCGAACACAGAGAGTCGTCTAACATCCTCAACTCGGAGAGGCGCTAAGCTAAGCTATTTAATGGCTTGATATTTCTTTTTTACAAAGAACATTATATATATATCTGCACGATACATCCTACTCCTCCGAATGATTGGTGTACAAGTGTTATTTTAGTTGCACGGCAGTACTCATACCACTAGTGGTCCAGTACTGGACTGCTGAATTTTCACAAACAACTGCAAACGCCGCAGCCAGTGTTACTGGTGTATTTATTACCCAATTTGCAACTATTATCATAATCTGATTCAGTTTCAGTAGCATTCGAGCAAAGAAAGTCCCCGTTCTAGCAGACTTTCTCCTCCAACATGAAGGACAACGAAATATAATCTCACTACGGTTATATGCACACTTTACTCCAGACATTTGATAACCGCAGTCTCACGTACAGGAATTTTTTAGTAATCCTATCCCTTGTAGCCTATCAATAATCACCCCTTCTCTAAAATCCTCTGTAAACCTATTATATGTGAGCATCAGGTGTTAAACTTGGCTCCGTGACCTTGAAACGGCTCAAGCGCTTCAGATTGGCTCGTCCCTAAAGTAGAGTCTCGCCATATATATATATATATATATAATGTCTGTGTGTGCCTGAGAAGTTTATTAACATCCTAAAAGCCCTATACACAAACACCTCAGGCAGAGTGAGGGCATACAACCACCTTTCTCCACTATTCCATTCAAGCAGTGGAGTTAGGCAGAGTTGCCCAATTTCACCATTCCTCTTCAACTTTGCCATCGATGACATTCTGGAAACAGCTCTGGCGGATGTAAGTAATGGTGGTGTGAATCTGTTGCCTGGAGAAAGAGTTCTCCACCTTGAGTATGCGGATGATATTGTCTTACAGTGCGAGAATGTTCAAGCCATGCAATCCGCACTTAATCAGTTGGCAATCAATATCCGTAGGTATGGTTTGTGCTTCGCACCTTCGAAGTGCAAAGTACTCCTACAAGACTGGCAGGATTCTAATCCTGTACTCACTCTGGACGGTGAGCAGATAGAAGTGGTCGAGAAGTTCGTGTATCTGGGTAGCTGCATAAGTGCTGGTGGTGGCGTGAGTGATGAGATCAATGCACGTATAGTGAAAGCCAGAGCGGCTTATGCAAATCTGGGCCATCTTTGGCGCCTTCTTGATGTTAGTCTGGCTGTAAAAGTTCGGATCTACAACGCGACGGTGAGAGCAGTTTTGCTCTATGCTTGTGAAACCTGGCCTCTCCGAGTTGAGGATGTTAGACGACTCTCTGTGTTCGATCATCGTTGTCTCCGAAGGATTGCTGGCATCCAGTGGCAACACCATGTCAGTAATGCAGAGGTTCGGCATCGAGTGTTCGGTCACAGAGACGATAATGAAATTGGTGTCACCATCTTGAAACACCGACTCCGATGGCTTGGACATGTTCTACGAATGTCGTCCCAGAGAATTCCACGTCGTGCATTATTTGCCGACTCTGGGACTGGTTGGAAAAAGCGGAGAGGTGGTCAGTATATGACATGGTGTCGTGGTATGAAAGTAAGCTGCAAAGGGCTAGCTTCTGTTGGTCCTTCACGACTCCCTGGCTGGGGTCGTAGAGATGGTGTAACACAGTGGCTAGAGACGTTATCAGATATGGCTAAGAATAGAAGCCAGTGGCGATCCTGCTGTAACCTCTTACTTTCTTCATAAAAAGTGGTTGTATCTTCCTTAACTGAAAGACCTCTTTTGATTGTACCTTTCCGTTTTCCCTATCATTGTTCTCCCCCTTTTTTTTATAATTCCCCACGTTTATTACTTTATATATATATATATATATATATATATATATATATATATATATATATATATATATATATATATATATATATATATATATATATATATATCCTTCTCTTCAAATTATCATTGTTTTGTGTGGCGCATATATATTTGGTGCCCCCCTGTACCAATATTTATTTGTTCAAATAAATAAATGTCTGTTCACTATTGTCGGCATGGGTGCGCTCAGTTAGCATGAGTTATATGGCCTATAATTGTTTACAAGATTTGAGATATATCCAATTCCCATAGATCTTGAGTTTTAGGATTACCGCATACTTTTTTATTCCATTAACTCATTCATTCTTCTCAGATCATATTGTCTATTCTTAGTATTTTCTTATTTTACCGATTCTGTTAGTAATTATACTACTGTGAGATTTGTTTTGATAAATTCTGACTAACTTATTATTTATTCAGTTTAATCACCTTATTAAAATTTCGTAGTAATTCTTAGATATAACATGAGATAGTTAAGGTATTCACTAGCTTTCCTATTTCTCCATTATCTAAAATTGACATTGACTTTTTAAAAAATAATTTCCTAACTAGTTCACTTCAAGAATCAATATCACTTCCTGATGTATTATTTATAATTAAGAAATACTAAACAAATATAGGCAAAGATAGATAGAAGCTAGCAGTGGAATCCATAACTCGCGTTTCTCCCTATTTGGGACTCGTCAGTTGGGTGTACCTGCATATAATGCTTGTGACTTAAGGATGCAAATATGTCAATAAGAGACTGATCAATTAGTCCTAAACATCAATGGGAAAATTCAAACAAACAGTATAAAATGAATTTACTAAACATAATTTGTTTATTCTAATTTGGAAGCTCTACATACAGAAATGACTAGCAATATCACGAGTTATGCTTTCCTATATGTATGCCTTTTTTTAGGAAAGCTATGTATGTATAGAGAAATGCTTTTCTTGATCTTTTCACTTGGTGTTCCTTTTTTTATTTAAATAAAAATTATTTATACTGTTGAGTGATTTATCTATCTATTTGTTTATTTATAGTTTCCTATTGATTAGCTCTCTTTATACCATGTGATATATTATTTCTATTAGTGTATAATTTTCTTCACTAATTATTTCTTATTGTCGTAAACTGTTCTATCCTTTTTTGTTTGTTTCTTATTCCCTACTAGAATCTCTAAGTATTTAAAGTCTGTTTACTTTTTTTATTTGAAAAAGAAATCAACGCAGCAATTATTATGTACATCTACTTTTATTATTTATAATTAAATGGATAAATTATGCTTAACTGAATTCCTTTTGATTGTGCTTTCTAGATTAAAGTTTTATAGATACAGGTAATATGAATGTATGATGCATTTGTTTCTATTACAGAAAAATGAATAGTCGTTTTCATTATTATTTAATTGAGTATGATATTTTAATCACTCTTAAGCATAAATTAATTGATATTGAAAATTTTCTGTTTTGTCATTAGTTGAAAATTTGGCTTAAATCTGAGCTTCCTATTCATGTTGACGGCGAACCATTTATTCATCCACCTGGTCAAATTACTGTACTACGTTCCGCATTGAGTGTAAGCGTGTCATTTTTAGTTATTTTAATGTAACATGAAATTATATTCATTTGATTTCTTTTCAAGTCCATGTTTATATTTGCCAAGTTTTTATCTTCAATCTTTCACTTACATTTGATGCGTATGGTTTCATCGTAAGCCAGTAAATCATTGATAATTAAGTGACATTGATGTTTTGTCGTGATTTCCGGACACTCCATCCGAAACTCAACCTGAGATTAAGTCGTTAACATTAAGATCATTGTAGCAAACACAATACTTCAAGATTAGATTTGAAATCCAGTCATTCACACCAACTTACAGTTACTGCGAGTCATTTCATCTTATGTTAGACACAATATAGCGGGATTCTTAATAATGATCATATCGATAGTATGACTGAAACACCTAATAAGTATAATATTCATTTTGTAAGCATACCCACTTATTCTTTATGATACTTCATTAATTTAGTCATTTCCGCAATTCATTTTATTCCATAATATGTATGTAGGCGAATATGTTAAGAAAGGTTAAACGACCTAAACGAAGACCTGGTACAGAGGACTATGGGTTGAATCAATTATCATCTACTACAGATCAATATCAAAAGTCAACACAACAATATTCAACCATCAGATTACATGATTTCAATTCATCTGATTATTCATCTTTAAATGTGATACAGAATATAAAGGAAGATTTAAAGCTTCCTACAAATAAGTTAAATATGAATTCATTCATTTCTGATACACCTACTTATAGTAAACCAATAATTAATTTAACATCAAAACCAATTTATAATAACGTTAATATACCAACCAATACTTTACAGTCATCAACAGTGTCTGTAGTACATTCAAATGATGATAACGACAATAGTCAGCCAATAGCTGATGATACTACTGCTGTTTATCATCAAGGAAGCCTTACAAACACTTTAAATCAATTAAGTTTAGGCAGTAATATTCGCAGTCAAGAAATATTATCGTCTTCTTCTTCTGCCAATCTTTCTTCATCATTATTACGTATATGCTCATACACAACACTATCAGGTGATGACAGTGTGTAAAATCCATTCCTTTTCTTAATTGGATTAAAAGATAACTATTTTTATATTTTTATGAATTATACTTCATGTGTTCGTCGCGAAAAAAAACACTAAGCAAGACCATTGTAATAATATATGCAAGCTGTATAATGTAACTTTATTATTTCATACCTTTTAGTAATGTCATTTCGACTCTTCCTTTTTTATTTTGAAGAAAGGTTTATCTTTTTCGAGACATATATATGTTTCTTGTTGTAAATTCCATTATATATTAAATCGTCTTTGGTGTCATCGTATTTTCTCATCTATCCTGTTTTATTCTCGTCAATATTTCTTTTCTGTACTTCCCTACTTTTCAACGGGATGTGTATCTTTTAATGGGAGAGGACCTGTTTTGTTTGTTCATCTGTACATGTGCGTGTGTTCAATTTCAAAAAACAGGGAGTAGGAATACTTGATTATTGTTATGTCATTTTGATTATCTACTGGTTAGCAGTGTTATTAGTAGTATACATAACAACAATAAATTGTTAAATCCAAACCGTTGTTACGGTATAATTTAATCAGTCATTATCATTATTGAGTCGCGTTTTTTTTTAAAAATTAGATTATTTGTTTGTTAGTAGAATTGCCATTATATTTTACTCATTATTATATTGTTACAAAGATTAAAAAGTTAATCATAAAAGTCTATTGTAAACTAATTTTCACTAATGTATTCAATTATATAATGGGGTAAATAATCAATCATGAGCCGTAGTTTTACAGGTTAGTGTTTTTATATCAATTCGTCTATTGTAATTTTGATAGTTCCATTGTACATTGTCCTTAATGAAGTAGATTTGATGTGTACTTGTTAAATATTAGTCACTTATTTGTATTTGTCTTTTAGTTTATGCGAACGAGTGTTCATGGAAAGCGAAAGTAGTTGTTTTCTTCAATCGCATAATTCTAAATCAAACTGTAAGGTAATCCAAATACTACAAATCTTGTGTCGTATTCAGTTAATGATTATTCCGAAGTGTGTTGTACGTAAACAATACTTACAACAATTAGTCAGTTGTTAGTTATATTAGGTTTTGTGAACGATTATGGACGGTATGCTTCAATATGGTAATAATTTTCGAGAGTGGACTATCCATTTATAAAATAGCGACTTCTAGAAGGCTTAGTTTCTAAGTACTAATCCGAATTTATTTGCTGACTATTTAGTGTTTCACCTTTGTTATTCAGTTATTTGAAAAATAACTGTTTAGCCTGTAATAATTTAAAGATTCTTCCAAACTACTGAGCTTTTTTCAAAAATGGGAATTCCCTACTGATTGTTAATTTTTGCACCAGTAAAAGTATGTTTATGTTGTTTGGATCAAGTTATATCTAATTAACTATTTAGTGGTTAATTTTTTGGCTGGCTTAACCGTGCAATCACAATATAGACAGATCGATTTTAGGCATCCAAAATAATCTAATTTCTCAACAATGAAACTCCATTAGTTTACAAGATCATTTGTTCAAGCTGTTTGAGAAGTGCAAATGTCCCGATTTAAATTCTCGAGATAAAATTCATCTTCGTCTGAGTCTTGGATATATTGTTATCCCCACATTTCATTTTATTTATTCCTTCCAATATTTCCCGCTTATTTTACACCAATGTTGAATATTCACTCTTGTGATGTTATGTGAACTATGACAATATGGACAGATAAACGTTACTATCAGGTTCGGAGTTGTTTATATCTCTGGCTACAAGATGAAATGCCTTGTTCATGAGCTGTGTACAGCACATTTAAGAGATAATAGCATTGTATTCTATAAATGCACTCCAATAAGCAGCAAGTAGAAATATTTGCTGGTGCTAAAATGTCACTATTCTACAGACAATTGCAGGGTAGTAGTTAAAGTAAGCTACTTAAATATATGTAGAAGTTATACATATTCAAATTACGGATGTTCAAATCAGTCTCGAAATGCTTAACAGTCCAGAGAGATTGCACAAAATAAGTACAATTTGTAAGAAACGATTATAACGCATTGCATGAATTCAACCTACTCGTCGATTACTCCAAATTAACGAATACGGTATAAGAACTTCTTTTAAGTTACTGAAGATTTATAAGTTGTGCACTTTGTAGGTTGAATGTATTTTCTAACGTACAATAATTATGCATCACACTCACCAAACGGATAAACATAATTATCTCATACAAATAAGACTATATTATAATTAAAATATTGCTTATCACATATTATTGGTCAGTCAAGACAAAAATGCAACACTACCAGGGAATATTTTGAGGAATATAGGAAATAAAAAAAAGCAAGAGTAAGAAAAAAACCGATTTTACTCACTACAACAATATACAAAGTGAAAAAACGAAGATAAATGCAAAAGTAACTTGACACACAGAGGTCGTTATGAATAAAAATATCAGAACTGTATACAGAAGTGTTTGAATTGTTACTAATTGTTGTGGCGAGATTATTATGTAATTCATGGGGATTAGTTTCAGTGTTGAAGTCATAATGACGGCTGAAGACCGAAATCAATTAGATGTAACCAAACGACGGCGAATGCATGATTCAGTTACATCATCTAGTAAAAATTAAAGAATATACCTTATCATTGCCAGAAAATAAAAGGACATATATGTATTACTTACTACTGTTAAAACTCATGGTGAGCATAGATCACCCACCAGCATTCTCCATCCAACACTGTCCTTTGCAATTCTTTCCGATTCTGTCCAGGTGCTATTCATTCTTCTAGTGTCTGCTTGCGATTCTCGACGCAATATGTCCCTTAGCCTTCCTCTTTTTCATTCACCTTCAGGACTACAAGTTACTGCTTGTCTCATGATGCAGTTTGATGATTTCCATAATATATATCCTATCTACCTCCAACATCTTTTTTTAATTCCCTCAGCTGGAAGCTGGTTTATTCTCTGCCACAATGGGCTGTTGTTGATGGTATCCGGTGAACGAACATTGAGTATCTTGTGTAGACAATTGTTTATAAATACTTGTAAATTTTTGATTATAATTGTAGTCGTTCTCCGAATTTCAGCTTCATAGAGTAGAACAGGCATCTGCAAAGACCGAAACTCCCAATTGCATCCAAGCTGTCCATTGTATTCGGTGCTTGCACTGAGACGTGGAGGTCTTCATAATGCAGTAAACCACTAGAAGGGAGAGGGTAAACAGCATTGTCTGACACCGGACGCATCTCATCCCATGATATCCTTATATCCGGTGTTGTCCATTCCAGCTTTGACGTTTAGATCTATCAGGATGGTCAGGTCCTTTCTTGGACACTCCGATATGATCGATTGCAGCCTCACGTAAAACTTAACTTTATCGTCTTCATTGTTATCATTAATGGTTGCATTCGTTGTGATTCCCTTCTTTCTTTCGAAGGATGCTTTGGTGATCCTGGATCCATGAAATTACCACCTTACAAGTGTTTTCCATGCCTCTTTGTACAGCATCAGAGCAACTCCCTGTGTGTGCGGACCATTTTTTTAATGACCCAAATTCAGCAGCAATTACCCCAAATCTAACCTTTTCTGTCCACTGAGTCTCACTGATCCCGAGCACCGTCAAGTGGTATCTTCTCATTCCCGTAACTATTTGATTGATCCTCCCGGTCTCCCACATTGTCTGAACATTCCATGTACCTGTGTTCACTATTGATCTGGTTGTTAGAAGGAGCATTGGCCTCGTGACTTCCGAAAAGTTTCGGCTTTCACTATGAAGCGTCATAATTCTTCTGAATAAATATCCTACAACTCCCAGGGCAGAGTTTAAATGGTTTGATTTGTTTGTTCTGGTTAGCGATTTTAACAAGGTTGTTTTTCACAGGATGGGATTGCTGACGCCATACCCAACCCTTCTCCTTTACCTGGGCTTGGGACCGGCAGTATATATTTACATAGGGCGAGAAAGGTTGATCACATAGTGAACTTCAACAAGTTGGTGAACTTCGGTTGTACTTTAGTTACAAAAAGCTTTATAAAGTGATTTATGAACGTAAATTCTCGCTCTTGATAGGTCATAAACCGCTGTTTTCGTTATCTTGAAAAGTACCCAGGCGTACAAGCCTATTAAAACATATAGCTTAGGAATAATCTTGTTGAAATTCGATGGCTAATGTATAAGAGTTGATAATGAGGATCGGAGGAACTTTTAAAGATGGAAACTGGTGCTAAGCAAAGTAGACCAGTACTATTAAAGATGTGTGAGAGATCGATACTAAAATTCTCCACGATAATGTGAGATAGTTGCTCCTTGAGAACACTAACTGGGAAGCATGGGCAACAAATGCCTTTTCCATAGTAAATTCTATATTCTTATGTGCTTTATTAAACAGATTGAGTAGTCTAATAACATGCTTCTGATTGTTGCTATTAGACTACTCAATCTGTTTAATAAAGCACATAAGAATATAGAATTTACTATGGAAAAGGAAGTTGAAGGTAAATTCCATTTCCTGGATATCGGTATCAGACGAACACTTGATGGCACATTACAGAGACACATTCATCATAAAAATACTTGGAGTGGACTATATCTTAATTACTATAGTTTCTGTCCAATGAGTTACAAAAAGGGTTTGATACGAACCCTTTTTGACCGCGCTCGAAAAATTTGTTCAAAGGAATGTCTGGATGATGAGATCACTCTCATCACTAATGCTCTACGTGAAAATTCATACCCGTTGAAATTTATCCATAAATATGCAAAAACCTATCCTCAGACAAAGTATGATAGAGTTGAAAAGAAATCTTGCTTCCTATATCTACGTTTTAAAGGAGATGAAATCGCTGACTTAATTAATCACAGACTAAATTCAGCGTTGAAAGTTGCCTACCCAGCTGCAAAATTAATGACAGTATGGAAAACGAACTGCTCACTCAAAGAAACTAAAATCGACAAGTCCTCTTTTCTTAGTAGCTCCAACTGCATTTACCAATTCACATGTACGTGCCAAAGCACATACATTGGAAGAACTGAGAGAAGAGTACATGTTCGTATTTCTGAGCACGTTCCAAAAAACTTGAGGCTGCGGGGGACGAAAGTTCTTAACAGTGCGATAGCTCGGCATTTACTGGACACTGGACATACCATTGATATCTCACACGCTTTCAAAATTATCAATAGACAACGAAGTACCACTACTCTCCGGTTCGCGGAAGCGATTGCGATAAAAAAACTTAAACCGGATTTATGCATCCAAAAAGAGACGTTAATAAACTTATCATTACCCTGGTAATTTTTTTTTTTGTGTGTGTTATTTTATTCACTCACTTTATTTTCTAAATATTCATTCTGGGTTATATTCCCCCCATTACCTAATTCTGAACCAACTTTCCATTCACACGTTTCCGCCCACTAATCATCTTATATCATGTCAACCCTTCTAATCTTAATGTAAATTTTTATCACATATTTGGTTGTAAGCAGCTGATGAGAAACCTCGAAATATTATGAATTCATACTATTCTGCATCAATATTTGTTCTTGCTTTATTTAAATTCATAAAGGGAACTAACTGCATGAAATATGATTTAAATGCGCACCATAGTTTTAGAAATCCAGCATATCAGAACGGAAAAAATGATCGATTTTTCAGCCTTCTTTAAACTACTGCAATTTTACGATGGAGTGAAAACCTAACTTGCTATACTTTCACCCACTATACTTCACAATTTTCACGTCGTATCTGTTCATAAATCAATACTTCTTAGGGATTTTAGGATGATCTGTTCATAGAACTCACAAGTCATATTGTTTCCAGTTAGCTTGATGAGTGCATAAACCAATAAATATAAATGCGCATTTCTCTCCTTACCAATTGACCATTTGAAAGAAATCATTTTATAATTGCACCGGGTTGTATAAAGTAAATACTACATTCTTTTGTATGACCAAGTTGTTTAAGAGTTGGAAAAACTAACCGGCAATTATGAGCGGATGCAAACGTAGAAGACAAAAGTACTTCGTAATAAGGAGTGGTCAGTCAGTCAGTAACAACGTGGAACTTCGTACGTACGTACATCAGTTCGAGTTGCCATACCACATTAGAACAGAGATTCAGTTATCAATTCAAATCCCATAGTGGTAGAGGTAGTGATAGGGAATACTAGGGTTTGATGATGTTATTTAAGGAGTATAGTACAGTGGAATAGATTTGGAAAGAAAATAAAGGGCATGAAGAATACAGAAGATTAGAGTTTGAGAGAACACAAAGAGTGGATGCACCTGCGCCACTGTAAACGATTTTGAGCCATGTCATTCAAGGTCTCTAACCATCGGTTGCTATCATCTCGCGGTCCCCAACCAGGTAGTCTACACCTACCAACATGGATGAGTCCACTTGTCAGTGACTTCATGGATTTGTGCCATGTTTTGGTCTGGCCGCCCCTACCTTTCTTCCAACCTACTCCTACACCAGAAAACATAGCACGTCGGGGCAGTCGGTGGTCGGGCATGCGCAACACATGTCCCAGCCATCTCAACTGATTAAGTATCATTACTTCATCAATTGATTTGCCATCCTTACCTAGTACCCGTTTCCTAACAACTGCATTACTTACTCGGTGGTACCAGGATATACGAGCAATGTTTCGAAGACACCTATGATCAAATACTGGTAACCTACGAATATCCTCTACTCTTACTGGCCATGTTTCACTGCCATAGAGTAGGACAGAACGAACTGCTGCGCAGTAAACACGTCCTTTGGTTGATAGACGGATATCTCGCTTAAGCCACAAATGACGCAAGTTGGCGAAAGCTAGTCGAGCCTTCTGTATCCTTACTGAGATTTCGTCACACACCAGACCACAAGGGCTGATGAGACTTCCGAGATAAGTGAAGCGGTCGACACGCTCAACTACTTCACTCCCTATCACTAGTTCGGGTGTCGACGCAACCCAATCCTGAAGCAACATTTTGCATTTCTAGGGAGGAAATCGCATGCCGAACATGCCTGCATTGTTGCTTAGAGTGGTCAGCAGACTCTGCATTTTGTCAGCGTCTTCACCAAATAGAACTATGTCATCGGCATATTCTAAGTCAACAAGTGAATCTCCCGGTAGAAGTTCAACTCCTGGAAATTTAGATGAGGAAAGTGTCATCTCTAAAAGGACGTCAACAAGAATGGAGAGAGTGGACAGCCCTGACGAACACCACTTGAGGTAATCAATTCTGATGACCGTTCGCCATAAGATCTCACTCGACCACTTGTTTTCGAGTAGACAGCATTTATAAGGTTAATGTACTTCTTTGGTATTCCTTTCAATGACAAACACTGCCATAGAACCTCACGATCAACAGAGTCAAAATCCGCCTTAAGGTCGAGAAATATGGCTATTGTGGAGCGTCTGAATGTGTGTCTATGTTCTAGGACCTGACGTAGTGTGAATATCTGGTCTATACAACAACGTCCAGGTTGAAAACCGACCTGGTTTTCTCTAATCTGCTCTTCACGGAGCTTTGGTTAGACGTCGAAGTATTATTGAAGCTAATATTTTAGACACTATATTAGTCAAACTAATTCCTCTGTGATTGTCACAGGAGGAATTTTGTCCTTTCTTATAGACTGGCACAATCAGTGATTGAGACCAGTCAGATGGGATTACGTCCAGTTCCCAGATTCTACCTAAGAACTCAGTCAATCTCGCTGCCATCCTTAAAAATCTCATGGGTAAACCTGTCAGGGCCTGCTGCTATCCCACGCTTCAGATTTCCTATAGCTTTTTCAACTTCGTAAAGAGTCGGAGGACTTACATCAACTTGCCATTCAGTTAGATTGGAGATCGTGGGAAACCGAAGTGTGGCTTAAGGCCAGTTGAACTGATCCCTAAAGTATTCTGCCCATCGATCCAATCTCCTGGATTGAGAATGAATAATACGTCCATCTTTCTCTGCGATTGTTTCGCAAACAGTTGGGTTCCTAATACCGGTTTCCTTAACAAGTCTGAACAGTTGCCTGCTGTTACCTATTACCGCTACCCACCACTGTTCACGATCTTTGCGTAGGCTTCTAGTCAGCTTACGCTTAAGCTGACTCCGCTCTTCGTTATGGAATGAGTTTACGAGCATCTATCAGTGCGGTAGATGCTGCTGAGATCCAGTGTTTCTCCCTAAGCTTATGGTTTACAAAACTTGCAGACAACACTGCTGTTTCTACAGCTTTTCGGATGTCATTCCACGCTGCCTCGGGGTTGGCATCACTTACATGGCTGCCTAACTGTTTTTTTAGTTGTTCTTGAAATATACTCTTAGCTTGATTATCATTGAGTAGGACCTTAAGGGGTTTCCTTGCAGCATCTTTCCTACGTCCAGTAAGACGCATACAAATACGTGCTCGTACTAGAGGATCATGTGAATCCAAGCATGTGCTCCACAACAAGCGTCAGTCTTCTATTCAGCCTCTCCACCGATGGCTGATAGGGACGTGATCTACTTGGGTCCAGCGTTGGGACGAATTAGGGGGTCGCCATGTCAAAAGATGTTTTTCCTTATGCTTAAAGTTAGTGTTTGCAAGAAACAGGCGGTTATCTAAGCACAGCTGCAACAGACGGTCGCCATTAACTGTTCTTTGAGCCGCAACACCATAAGATCCACCCAGGTGTCTTTCCTTTTCGCTTAGTTTACCTACTTGAGCATTAAAGTCACCAGCCACTATTACTACATCTGAACGCCTAGCTTTTCGGAGAAGGTCGGAAAGCTTTCTGTGAAACTCATCTTTTACGTTATCTGAGCTGCAGTCAGTGGGAGAGTAGGCAGAGACGACGAAGAGGCAACGACGAGTGCCCCTATCTTTTCGAGTCCTTACTGTTCCGTTTAGTCGGACAGTGCACAAACGACTGTCAACTGGGATCCAGTCTAAGAGAGCTAGTTCTGCCCTAGGACTCAATGCTATACCTACGCCAGCGAGGCCACGGGAAGCAGCATCAGGGCTTCCAGATACACGAAGCGTAAATCGAGTTGGTTCGTTACTTTGACATGGTGCGGTCAAATGAATGACACTATTAGGATCCTGTGTGCGCGTTTCGGAGACGCAGCACACATCGATGGAGCGAGATTCTAAAGTCTTAGCTAAGGAAGCCTGTTGTCCTATTTGGCACAGTGTTCGGACGTTGAAAGCTCCTACGTGTAGTTTGGAGCGTGGTTTCAGGAGACCAGGAATAACGTTCCGCGTACTCGAATCGTTCGCACTAGCGGGGCGAGGTGATAAAGGGACGTAAGAAGGGTTAGTCGTGGAGATAAGAGAGTTATTAGGAGGTGTAGGAAGGATTTGAATGTGACCAACGTGGTCTCGTGTGTTGTTACGGGTATGAGGGCTGATATCACTTCCCGCTTGCCTACACCGTGGAAGGGTATTTCTTGAGGGACCTGAAAAGGAAATCGGATTAGTGTTGGTCTTAGCGACCTGAGTGCGTGACCGCAGAGCCCAAGGGACAACTGCTTGAGGCCGGTCGCGCACGGCCTTTTTGTGGGAGGTCTTTAATGTGTTAGCTCCGTTCTTCAAAGGGCCTTACCGCCGGAGACGGAAATCCGTGGGGTAAGGTGAGGTGTGACATTTTTAGGGTCAACCTTTTCTAACCCCTTCCTTCCTTGTGAGAAGGCAGCATCGCTGTAGATGCTGGTTGTCCGAGGGAAACACCTTACTGCTGTCACACCTCTGTACAGTCAGCAGTACGACTTCGCCCTCAGACCTTGAGCTGCTGCTTTTAGTCTTACCGTTCTCCAATCGACCTGCCTGGCATGGTAGAACCTGCAGGAACATGTGTTCCAGCCAATATAGCTCGGTTGGGTCATCACGATGGGCAAGCCCGACCACCACGTCAAGGTAGCAGCTACGGTCGGGTAAGGAGTGGTGAATAGAGAAAAACTAGTACTGTTAACAGTCTGATCGAAACTTTACTATCTGCATAGTAAGGTCAGAGTTTATTTATGAATGGAAGTCAAAATAAATAGTAGTAATCACGAAAATACACAGAAAATATAATGCTAACCTTTGTTATGGTTGTCGAATACCGTCACCTCTTCATATGGTATTTCTAAATTCTCCTTTGACTGTGAGATATTAAAATCGCATTCTGATTCATTTTCCTCAGTGATTTCTTTGTCTAACATTTCACTTTCCATATCTTCATCTTCATTCAAGTTTACTCCAGACTGTTCTCTATAAGGTATGGTAGTGAACATCCCTTCATCTATCTCTTGTTCTTCAATTGAACCACGTAGAGCATCTTCTGCAGATTGCATTGCTTGTAGTATGCGTGTCATTTCATGTTCAGTTTGCTCGAGTCTAACACGAAGACGCGACAACTCTTCCGCATCTATAATTTTCGAAATATTAAATATGAAATTATTTAGGATTAGTAACAATGAATGCGCTGAAACAATTATGAAATATACTTAAAAGTGCCCGGCTAAATTTCTTCTTAAAATCGTCCTGATAAATAATCTGGCAGTAAAATCTATAGGTCAGTCAAAGTTACATGTGGGTTTCGGTGGGAAAAATAGTAAATTAAATATTGGCTGGGTTATTTAAACAGATGAATGACGTGGGACCTTCCAAACTTTGCATCAACACGAAAAAAAACATCTGCAATCTTAAAAACGGCAAAGAGTAGTGAAGAGTTAAAAAAGATGGGAAACAAGTAAAAAGACGTAATTGGACGTATATGATAGTCAAATTAAGAGTAGTAAGTAAACTAAACTTACCCAAATCTTGGCGTTCCATCCTCATAAGCAATTTTCCCAAATCTTTGGGTAAACTTTTAGCTGGGCGATAAATATCTGGGTAAGAACCCTTGAAAATGGAACCCCATTCAAATGGTTTGCGATTTGAATCTACAGGTTGAAAGAAGAAGTAAACTTGTTAATTTCAGTCTACTCACCACCTAGCGTAGTTCTTTGATTTTCAATAAGGCAGAGATTTTCAAGCCACAGTAAGCTAAACTAATGAGTGCAATATTTCTTGTTTCCATTCTCATTAGATGTTTGCGTTTTATTTAATATTCTCTTCTCAAGAAGTTTCTGTCAAAATATTGCAGTAGAAATGCAATGGTGAACAATGTGAGTTAACATGTAGCACTTTATACGTTTCTTTGAAGTTTAGGAGAAGCAACATTCAGCCTCTTCCACCGAGTGCTCTCTAAATCTATTTCTACATATAACTATTTGAGAACTAGTAAACATTTCGAGAAGTGAATAAATTACATAATAAGGATAATAAAAGTTAGTAGCGTACAAAACTAATAATTTGATAAGGATCAGTGTGAAGTTATGCAATGGTTGAGCTCAAATGAGATATTTTAAACTAAATGTAATAAATCATCACTTTATTGGGTTAAGTGGAAAGGGAAACAAATTACCTCCAGATGATTTCCTAGAACTAAGAAAATTTAGATTTGAAGAATTTCCAAATGTATCTGTTTCAGCGGTGTCATCGTCATCATCGGACGAGTCATGACCCATGCGAAATTTACCACGATCAACATCATAATGGAAATCACGATAGTACTGTCGTAGAAACTCCTCTTTTTTATCAGTATTTTTTCGGCGTTTTGACGAAAATATCTACAAAAGGATTAAGGAGATTATTTGACATATCACTTTATAGATTTCCAATACTTTGTAATCGATAGAGTAATGCTAACTAAAGATAAGAATATGGTAAACCTCAAGATTTGAACAGTTGAGCTACAAGTCTGAAGCCTGTTTCATTTACGATTTATTTATTTGAACACATAAATATTGATACAGGAGGGCACCAAATATATATGCGCCACAAAAAACAATGAGAATGGGGAGGGAAAAAAGTGTAAAGAGCGTAAAAGAAAAAAGGAACAATAACAGCCAGATTAGTGTAAGGTAGTGTAATAATATAATAATAATAATAATAATAATAATAATAATAATAATAATAATAATAACAATAATAATAATAACAATAATAAAGGTAATAATAATGTGAGAAACGGAAAGGTACAAACAGGAGAAATCTTTCAGTCTGCACAAACAAGTCATCTTTTTAGTCCACGAATTAGAATGTGTTTATTTGTTTACTAAGTCGTTTCAATCGAAAACTGCTCAATAACGTTACTTATTTCCGAAACAAAACAAATTACGAATAACTAATAATGAAAGTAGCACCAGATATAAACTACAACAGCGATAAAATCGAAAGAGGTTAACTGATTGTGAACTATCATGCGTAGAGAGTTGGAGAACACATGTAACTCCTCAAGTTAGTCAAGGTCTTTCTGATGTTTTTACGAGTTGAGTACTTGATGTTATCAATACGTTTAAGCTCTTAGTAGACAGTGGGCAACCGGAAAGTTGTTGGAGATCAGACGAATTGTCCTCTGAAGTTTTAAGTTACGATCTTTCGATTTCCAAGTGGATAACCTAACCACATTTCGCCACGGAAGTAGCACTTGATGCCAATCACTTAAGCTCATTATCTGTGATAAGTTGAAGCAATTGTATACCATTATCAACCAACGCTAGCTTCCTCATCCTCGTCTAGTAAAACTTATTATTGTTACGTAAACATTTTATCAATCAGCAATGATATTGATTTCAGTTTTCATACTGTTTGGAGCTCCTTGTATCAATATTGAGGAAAATAAAAGTAACACCTAGATTCTGCATATATCACAAAAACGACATAACCATGACACGGGATTCAATATTTTGATAAATGATCCCCGCCGACCTATTATAAATACGGTCGAACATTAACAGCTACAATATGTAATTTGAACGCAAATTTTAAGTAGCCAGGAAGATATTGCGGACCCAATATCCCGGTATTTGGTACATATAAATCGGACGTTGAGGCGAACTTATATAGAAGGGGTGATAATCAAGACGATAAAACTGAAGGAGGAAGATTGACGATAAGCAAGACGAACTCCAGTTTTGTTAAATGTATCATTGATCAGTATTATTTGATTACACATGCTATGAGAAGTTATTTGTTTCCTAAAAAACTTAACACAAACTACATTAGCAATATACAAGCCTGTAGCTAATAAGAGATCTGATTGAAGCAAGTTATATGAACATTTTGTGGGTGCTTTTTCCCGTTTTAGCTATGCTCAGTTTGCACTTTTTAAGCCTTACAAACCACCTTAGACATTCTTATGATAGGGGTGCACTGTTTCCACGTTTGACTTATTCTACTCCCTTATCTCGTCTATGAAGTAGGGTAGATGGTGTTCGACCGTGTAGAATAACTTACTGCAGTTAAACTAAGACACAATTGGGGATAAAACTTCATTTCGAGATATGAAATTTACATTCTCGTAATAAACGATTACCAGCTGACCTATCTGAGATGGTAGAACCTCAAAAAATAGTTGTTCCAGTTAGTATATCTCGACTGGGTTGTTACGATAGACAACTACGTCAGAGTAGTATTTACAGTATAGAAAATAATCAGTACGGAATCTGTATAAGTGGGGCAGAGTTCGAACAAACTACTAAACAAAATATAATTTGGTACTGTTGCAATCCTATGTTGGCATCTGAGACTACGGTTAATGACGAAATATAAAAATGAAGACTATGAGAAGGAAATAAACAAAATCTCACCTTTGAAAGTGTGTAAAACAAATATAACACTATACCAACAGCATAGACAGGTAAAACGATTGACATAATTCCACCTCTTTTCCCTTGATCCTGTTGAACAATCCCTTCTGAAGCTCTGATAGGTTTTTGTGCGTGATGACCCTGTAAAGCGCTCGGTAAAGTTACAAAAACATACATTTAACCGGATGTTTTCAAATCTGGTATGCTCTATACATACAGTAATGTGGTTAAAGTGGTACATTACTCACCTTCTGTGTGCCTATTTTTTGTAAAACCCAGTAGATGAAGAAGCATCGGATGGAAGATTTTGGGATACAGTATTGAGAAGCATGCTATTATAACACCCAAAACCAGATAGGTTTGTACACGAACTGATATCTGAGACATGTTAATAGTCAGTGCATTAAATCTACAATAGTTTATAGAGTAATACTGAATTAAAAGTGATGAGTCCATGCATATAGAACAACAGTAGAATAGTTTGATTTCTTCATTAAAAAGGCATCAGGAGATAAAAGATTTGTGTAGTATTAAGGAAATGCAGATGTTATTGTATTCAAAGAGATCTAATTATGTGACAAGATTATACTACGATTCACCTCCGAAGTGGTTTCAATACCGAATTTCAAGAATCGAACTTTGTATGTACATACTAAGATTTAACAAAGCTAATAATACAACAAAACTTCTGTTTCCTTTGTTTTCGATCTATCTGGGTTTTTTTTGCTATGCTGATTTGAATTGAGGAAACTCGGAAGAGCGTATAATTGTTAAATAGGAATGATAACCGACCATCTGAGCAAAACTAACATTAGCCGTTTAGTCTTCTCTTAACACTAAACAAAAAATCGATACCTATGTAGTCTCCAGTTCTAAACATATAAATGAATGGGGAAACAACTGTATTATTGTTTGCTTATGGTTACCTAGTATTTGATCACTGGAAAATGATATTCAAATATTAAGACTCTTAAGATCTAAACAGTAGTGCGGACGGCAAATAACACGAACATGGTCTGACACCCTATGATCTTTTTCAAACTTATATGAATCGTTCGGTTTCTTTTGGTTTGTTTACACCTGTTTTGCTAAAGTTTTAGGTTTTTCAGTCCGAATAAAACCAATCCAATCTCCAATTTTGAGGAAAATTTGATCCACTTTGATGAATCCATTATAGAAAATTTCGAGGAAATGACAACAAAACATCAATGTTTTCCCTAAAATTTGGTGAAGGTTATCTCACTTTGGGAATTTCCCCAAAATTTTGGAGATTGGGAAACTCACTGCAACGGTTTCTCTATGAGGCACACGATCAAGTAACAGGAAGTTCCGGCTAGAGAAAGTTTCGCGCATTAAGTTCTAATTATTAAATTAAGTACAGAGGACAATCAGTTCATCACTAGCTTCAACAATCGACCAGCCGTAACATACAACGACATACGACAGCTTTTAAGCGGGAGATCCACTACAACATGATGCTTATTACAGGTTTGTTGTTTAATGACCTAATCACGAGGTAAAGGAATTGTTTTTTAACTTGAACGATCTCTTCTTTTGTGTCAGTATGCCTCACGAGAACTTAAACACCCCACTTATACTTGAGGTTGCTTGCAATGATCAATGGTTTTGTCAAGAGCTTGTCCGAACCTGAAATTTAAGAGCGTAATTTGGACACTGCATGTGCGAGGTAATAAAACATCGCTTCTGCTAACAATTAGTAGTCTGGATTTGCTGATAATAAGTGGAAGGGGCATTCTCCTAAACTAGTTATGTCATCTGGAAAAGACAACTAATAATCTGCGTCTTATATTTCCCTCCAAACATTGAGACTGCTCACACATAGCAGGGCTTAGGGGTATTAGGTAGAGATTCTTTGATTTTGGTGTGAAATTCATTTATCTATGTGGTTAAATAGTATTTTCACATTATTGCTTATGTCAGTTCGTGGTGAACAAACTAGCTCTTTGACCTAACCCTAACGTCTAACTCTAAGTCCTAATACCTGAGCTTGATAGACAGGCTAATATTCTGAAGGTTTCTTTGGCGCCGTCTATAAATTACAGCCTCACCTCTGCAACAATAAAAATCCAGTCGTTAAGTTTCCGTAAACTGAGGTTGAGAAAATGTATGTTTTAGCGTGTGTGGCGATCCGTTTTCCGTTTGCCGACTGTAAGTTGGAGACCTACATTGTGGCGGATAGTTAATATTCGCAGGAAATACGCCAGGTTCTACGTCAATGCCGAAAAGATAGAGGACGTTCGTCATCAAATCATTAATGTACAACAAACAGCTATATCGACTGACTACGGTCGCGTAAATGCGTTACGGTGAGCAAGTTTTCCAAGGGATTTGCCGTGCTGTATGGTTCGAGATAAAAAAAATCCGAGATTTCTGGTGAGACTAACATCATCCAAGGATGTCTATTTCTCGTGGTCCAGAGACAAATCCTTTACCTGATGGGCTTCTTTAGGGACTCTCGGAGGGTCTGCGACCATGATGAATGTTAAGAAAACGGGTGTTGGTATTAGGTAGATATGTAATGTCATTATGCATTGTGATCACAAGTACCCAATCAACAGACGCCGCCAGTTTATCTGTGGCGTAGTATTGGAATGAGACAAAAACAGCCTGCAAAATTTACTGTTGTGTCGTGATCGCGGAAGCCAGTTTCTACATAGCAGGGACAGGCTCCCACATTGCCAGGCCGGATCGGCATGTAGTGAAAAGTGTAAGAGGTAATAGACTTAATCTTTAAAAGCGACTTTCAAAACAAATGCGATGCGTTCATCTAAACCTACTTCCAGTAGATTGCAATAAACCGATGTTTTCGTCCAACTCACCTTTCGACTTAGTAAACATGTTTTCGACGTCACAATTCATCACACCGATCCGTCGATGCTGTACAAGTAAGACACTATGAAGCAATTAACCGTGATCCCAAGTCAGATACCATTGGTAAGGCCGGGATTAAAAGATAACATCAGCATCTACCGTCTAAAAGCGATTTACTTTCTCACTAAATAATCAGGCCACATGGTCCTCTCGGCTAAGATGAAATAAACCAAACAACCAAAGACCTCGACGAAACGTCTGTATCATCCGACAACCGGCCTGAAATCGCATGCTCTGGAAGAATTGCAAAGTTTCCGGGACAATTGAGGGATTACATAGATCATTTTGTAAGTTTTGTGTTCTATAGCCATTAGGTTGAATTCTCAGCTTTTTTGCCTCGCAGAAAAACAATAAAATATGTTTATACGAATAAATCATTTGGAATCAGACCAATTTTTTCAGTATGTATGTGTATGTGTGCATTTCTCTCATAAAATCACCCTACTAAAACATTTTGTGCATGATTATTCTCGCCGTCTCACGGTATATATATATATATATATATATATATGCGTATAAACGGCTTTTTTCATCACATCTTACGTACTTAAGCGAGTTTGAGTGTAATTTGGCATGCACTTACATGTATAGGTGGATAAGTTCCCGGAAAAATAGTTTTGTAAGTCTTAGGCATTGATGCTAACCCCATTAATTTACTTAAGCACACCATGGCTGAAGGCACTTGGTTACTCATGAACATCAGATCACTATTGTGTATGATGTGCTGCACACCCTTCTCGACATCTAACCAGCCCAAAGCAAGTACTTCTCAACATACAGAGTACCTTACGAATATATCTTTTGACTCCTTCATCCCTGACTTCTGGCTTGGTATTTTTTTTAATTCAAGTGCATTACAGACGAAAGCGTTACCAAACCTTGAATATCCACAACATCTTTAATACTTATGGCATCCAGCTCACCGTGGAGAACTCATTTGACAGAGCATAAAAGGATATATTCTTTTTTGACATCTAGCTCTGATAGTTTGACAGTCGCATTTTAAGACTCTCGATTGTGCTCCCTATTCTCAGTTTAGGATGCATAATTAGATGAGGAACCCCGGCGAGAATACCGAAAAAGCACTTGGCAGTTGTGTCTCAATCAGGCTGTCTGCTATGAACATAACTGAGGAGAGAGTCATTCGTATGATTTACGCTACTGCGGAGAGCATGGAAGCTTTTACCTCGTTACCTTCTTAAAGTATAAACAAACCAACTGTTCAATCAGAATGAGGTTTGTCATTGACCAAAGGACGCTCGAACAAATCAATAGAAGATTAAGTTTGTCTTCAATAAGTTCTTATGAAACCAGTGGCCGTTGTCCGTATGAGCCAACGGACGTTTTGACATATAGTACGTCAGAAATTCCTTAATCATGAGAGATCCATATCTCCCTACACTTGAATAGCAGTGTGTAGTAAAAAGAACACAGGTGGGGACAATCGAATGTATTTAACAACAAACTACAGAGCATCTCAATAAAATCTGAGAACCATATATTAAATCGTTAATTTGCAAAATGTCAATCCATCATGTCAAACTTGACTGTTCCTGTTGCAAACATCAATCCATTGTCTCAGATATCATCGCTCATGAGTTTTCATACAAATTGCATTGTGTTCCCGCTCTTCCTTTCTTGATTTTTCCCATCTTCTGCTGCCAGACATTACGTTCCTACATCGCGTCATATATTACTTATGTGTACATAAGTAGCACACACCACAGTGGGATGTTGGGTCAACAGTCCGTTGAAGAAACTTTATTTCAACGTGGAAGTAGTCAGATAGTAATCATTTAACTAGTTGAATAGCAGCCTCATTGAGGTTGATGCGTGCCTCCAAGGAATCCTTGTAGAGCAGATTCAGTGGGGTGAGTAGGTTTCATTTCATCTGACTAAATAAAAACCTGTTTCATCTTTCTGTATCACTCACTAGACAAGAGTGATAGTTTATTCTGTCCCAATCTATCTTTCGAACGCGTATCAACAGTGTAATCAGTTGTCTGCAAAAATTAGGTATATACCATTCATCTCATTCTGTAATCCTAGAATTACTTGTTGAATGACCGAAAATGTGTGATGTCTCAAAATAAGCACAAGAAAAGGGTCTCTTTAAAAACATCCCATCATTATCCCATGTCAGCTAAGTGCTGTATGCCCTTCCAAGATAGCTTTACGAGGTCTACTTTAACAGACTTTTGACCAGTTTTTCTAAAGGTATCATAGATTGTACATGTATCTGGTAAATCAGTTAAGAAGATACATAACATGAAAATCTGATCATTTTGTCCAGGAGAATCGACAAGCTAATAAAGCATGAACTACGAATACCTCCTGCTTTCTAGCGTTAAAAGCAATGTACCGTGTCCCGGGTGATGAAATTTCGTGAGTTTGAGTGTCAGGTCTGCTATCATCATTAGGCTTTTTAGAGAGGGAATTTTGGCGAAAACTTGTTACATTTAGGTGCTTATCACACATCAACTTTCTGACCATAACCCTGTTAAATTACTGTACAGGTACTGAATGATCGAAGCGGAATCTTGAAGTTTCATATGCAAGTCCTAGGCAAGTCATTTTGAGAGAAGCAATACCAAGAAGCAGACTAGACTTCGATGAGTTGACTGAAGTTAGAAAAAGAAAGTGAGACTCATTGTGTCCAATTTCACAACGGCATTTTCTAGTGGAAACTGTTTGTCCCTATAAAGAGTGACACAAGGGCTGTTCTTAGTTGCCTCTTCCTAATTCAAGAGGACAGTTCCGAATCTTTGTTCACATCCAGGAAGTTAGTCTGACCGCTCAGCCGAAATTACTTTCGTGATCTCAAAAGATGATCAAACGTTTATCTGGTAAACACTCTGTTAGTCTAGTGCACATTTCTCCTAGACTATCTCTTCCATTTTTGTCATCGGAATAATCGTGCGAATGCCTAAAATTTCCAAATAAGTTTATGACAAACAGTACTGGAACAATCTGTGTTTAAAAACACTTAGCTGTCTGAAGACAAAGTGGGGTTTGTTGTTAGACCTCTGGCGTGCTTTAAAGGTAGGCGACACGGGAGTTTTAGTGCTTTTTAGGGGGAAAACAACATAAAACTCCGTCTATGGGTTTCAACAGGCCACATTCGGAGTTTTACTGCTCTTTAATAAGTGATACTGTAGTAATCGAAATATGCCAACCCAGTCGAATCAGACGACGGAAATCAAATAGTTCTAAGATATATTTGAAAGACTCTCAATATATCGAAATTTTTTTAGTCTAAGATGGCTAGCGGTTGTAAGAGATGAGTAGCACAATCTATCCACTTATGATCTGGGGCGGATGTGCAGCCGAAACCCATCCGTTAAATGTGTCCAGTAAAACTAATGAGGTCAGTATTAATGTCAAAGACTAACAAAACCATTTATTTGGCGGATTTATTTACCTCTACAGATTTTACATACATTAAAGACAGTGTGCCCAAATGTTTCTAGATAACAAAACGATTGAGATTAGTAAGGGATTTTCTGTTTATTCACTTTCAAAACCATGATGTATTTAGTCGTCATATTTCGTGACAATTTTTACCTTTTCCTGATGTTCACTAATCAGCAGATCCATGAAATGGTTGGGTCAAATATACTTCACGTCCTTTTAATTAGTACTCCTTGTCAGGCATACTTTATATTGTATTAAACTTAATTTGACTTGTAATACCATGCAATGCTTCCATAATAAATATATAAGGTTGAATGATGAGCTGTTCTTCAAGACATAGCAACTGTAGCCTATAGACTGTTGAGATTCGTTTGAATCTTTCAAAAACAAAATATTTAGATGTACTGCTGTATGTAGACGTTTTGAACTTACTGAGTGTGTCAGCTCTTAGATTATGTTACTTGTAGTTAACTGGCCTTTAACCCGTTATCTGACGTTTTTATTCGATCTAACAATGTTATTGTTTACTACGCGTATACAAATCTTGATAATTCATCAACATTCTGATCTATGGATGAAAGTACCTTTAAATTAACTAGTCAGATAGTTTGTGGATTCGTACTTACTAATACTACAACTCTGTGATGTTTTGGGGTCACTATCCTTGTATTCAGTTAGTATGTTTCATATGTTGTTTCTGACAGCGTATTTGAATTCGTTTAATCTCAGTTCATTAGTAATTGTACAACATAGTCGTATACTGTTTGTGACTTCAGACGGTTGTTTTTTACGAATTACAAAAACGTTTTAAAACGATATATATCGCCATCTATCGGTGCTATCATGTTTTTTGATGCTTTGTAACATGTCGTGTGGTGATTTTTAACACCATTCTAACACTTGCCATTTAGATATTTGGTTCTTTAAAGGGTTTTGATTTCTTGAAACAGTTAAGTGTGCATACGGCAGACATTTAGCAGTTTTTACACGAAACTGTCTTCTCATAATAAAATGACTGGGAGAGGTAAATGGTAGTACATCATTTAGACCATGAAACATAATAGGATAAGAAAAACTGTTTTGAGGTTGAAGTATTACATTGGCCAGACTTTTTCTGTAGCTTTTATGGCAACATAATCAATTTTTTAAAAGATAAAGTTTTTATAAGGAAACTAACCTTCATTCCATAGATGTGTTTCATAATTGTCTTTAATTCACACGGTTAACAAGTGTATTTATCCGAATAAGTAACCTTTTCGTGATAGACGATCTACTAAATCAACAATCTTACATATAGTAGTTTTATTTCGTTTTAGAGCCTTATTAATACTGAGAACTTGCCTCCATCAGTTCAGTTTTTAAGGTTATACATGAATATCTGGTGAATAGATATAGTTTGGTTGACGCTAAGTTTTATCTTCAGAATTCTGCTATTTTACGTCATTTGGAAGTAAGCAGGGCTATGCGCTAAGTTCCTCCGATTTTGCAGTGGTGCTGCAGTTGGGATTTAAATGAAACTATCGACTTGGCATTTGAGGATATTGATTGTTCAATTGTTAGTTTCGCCTCAGCAATGTATTACGCAGCTGATAAGCTGTGAAATAAACGATGATTTAAAAATAAGTCTGAATAGTCCCATAATACTTAAAGGTACCAAGTGAGGAGTGGTAGTACACTTTTCTCATGGAATCTAATGAACTATGTCAAGGCAAGAATTAATACCTGTCTTTAAAATCAACCTAAGTGAATTCATTGTAAAGTTGACACTAAGATCACATTCAACTTAAGAACAGCAGTCATTATGTATTTGTTCACTTTATGGCTACTTTATATAACCTTCTACGGTTTTAATGAAAACATTTTTCCCATTCTCTATCAGACCCTAGTTGAATATATTGAAAAACAAAATCTATTTTTGTTCCTTAATTTCAAAAGTTTTGTAGAGTATATTAAAGTTAAATTGCTATTAATCACATACTATACACTTATCATTTACTAATTCTAAAATAAATAGCTTGACCTAAGATGTGGCACAACGGCGAAACAGCTTTAGTAACAAAATGTTCAAACATTATGGAGCAAATCAGTTAAGTGAAAAAAAAATACGGGATGCAAATGATTTAATCAAAAGATTAAAATGTTAGGTAGATTGCCAAATCACTCCCCTATTCTTTCAACTAAGTACTAAACAGCTTCTAATACTCAAAATAGCGATTTTAGTGGTCAATAAATCACTGATACCGCCCTCTAATGCCCTGGTACTGTCAAGGGTGAAGAAAATCCGCTTTTTTTTCGAATGCTCTCACATGGTCACGCATGTATAGCCATTCCCACGGAAGTCCTACTCACTGCCTTCTCGTAATGTGGGTGTTGTTTACGAAATTGAGAGTACGGAAGGCGAATGTTTGGCTCTTCAACCGGGTTGGTGGATATGAAGGATCCAATCAGGAGGGCTGGCAAATACTGATTCCAAACCAATGGTGCAACTAGGATCCAGGATCCTGAAGGAACAAAGAGCGTAAGAACCAATTGTTGGTCACCGGCTTTTATGGGACTGCATCTCCTTATGTTGCTCTACTGTCTTGTGGGTTAGATCTTCAGGTCAAAAGCTCCGGGTGCGGTACCCTAAGAAAATCACCTGCCTCAGTCTGGGCACCCGGGCAGTACCATAACCCACACAAATCAATGATAACCGCTACTGGCCTCATTGTTATTTTGTGGCACATATGTATTTGACGCTCCCTTGTACCAATGTTTATGTGTTCAAGTAAATAAATAATTTTATCGTCGAATGTCCTTACATTATTATTATGATTATTTAAACGCCATATGATATCTTTCACAGATAGTTTTACTATTTACTAATGAGTTATAATATCATGATCTCAGAAATCAGTCAATAAATACCTTGTTATGAGATTTAAGATGGGTCACAGTTAAACATTCGTTTCATACTCTCCTCGCAGTAAATATTTTACTGCACCATGTATTTTATTTTTGCCTAATCGTGTTCTTTTTTATTATGATATTATTCATATAATTTTTTAGTATCTTGAGGTTATAAGAATAAGTGCAGCGGTTCAAATTGACGTAATATAATTCATGTAAATGAATGTAGTACAATTTTGTTATAAGTTGGGAAGTAAGTTTTAGGACCATCAAACTGTAACTTTATTGTCTCATTCTTAAAATAGTGTTTTTTAATACGTTATCTCGTTTTATACCAGCCGAAGTTGCAAAAATTTCATTCAATCTTGTTTATATGTAATCGGAAGTGAAGAATATCTAGTAAGTCTAAGGAATAAAGATTTGTTATTTGGCATAAACAAATTTGTCATTGTATTAGAAACATAATGTGCCCATATCCAGTTTTATGTGTTAGAAAAGTAAAACATAAGGTTTGTGCCCGTTATGATTTTGTTCAAATTTCACGTTATTTGGTTTTGATATTTTCAAATGTGTTAAATTTCATGCACAATGTCTTTCTTAAACATTTATTTTAACTTTAGATGACACTATCTACTATACATAGAGAGAACGGTGGCAATCTTCATATTTCAAGTGGGAAAACTCATTAGGAAGATTTTTCTGAAGTTTTTTAGTATGGAGTTCTCGATTCTGAAAGCGTGACTATCTGCTTTTAGGGCCAAATAATGCCATGGAAGTGATTTGTTCTCTTCTGTTTAGAGTGTTAAAAGCGGAAAACATCTGCTAATATGTGTTTATTTAGTGTAACAGAATAGATTTAACCACCGTTAATGCAAATGTTATGGCCACTAATGACAGTCGGTATAAAGTGAACTCTGTTGCTGACTTTAGGTTATTTAGAGAAAGACAGACACCAGTTTTTCTATATTGCAGATATATTGAATGAGTTCCATCTAAGGATAGTTTAAGAATTTATTATTTACTCACTAAATATGTCTTTTTTAATATTGATCAAACAAAATGTACAGTAGAAGAGGGATAAGACATGGTATCATTTTACGAAATTTTTATCTTGCAGACTACACGTATACTATTAACCAAAAAATGTATTAAAATGTGTTTTTTCAGTAAGATAATTGAAAAATGATTTTTAGAAATGTACGATTGATGTTCGTAGTTTCAGTATCTTATAATCTTGACAGAACATGTGCTTAAGAATTTTTGTTCTTAAATTACATTTTTTTGTTGCTAAGACTTTTGATTATAATGGCTGGTGATCGAGGATATTCAGGTAAAGATTTTACCGGAAACAACTTCGAAGAGTATGACGACGAGGAGTACTGTGATAGAGCAGATGATGATGATGACGATGAAGAGGAAGATGATGATGAAGATGATTATAAAGAGGAAAATGCTCGTCAGGAAACAGAAGAACAAGCACGAATGCTACTTGAAAAAGCCAAGGTATTCTTTATTTTTTAACATATACTTTCATTACTTCGTACATTTAAAAGCAAGATGGAGTATTCAAGTGAAATGTTATCTTTGATACTAAGTTGGATGAATTGTCTCCGTTTGGCTATAATGCTAAATGTTTGACACTTTTACCATTTTCGTGATCAACTTGATTTTACTGCTTGAGAATTGATTAAAAGTTTTAGTTCTTTGTTGCTTGTAGAAACGCATACCGTTTCATCTTACAATATGAACATGACAAAGTTATATACCATTGTTTCATGAAAGTGTTCCTTAGAAGGAAAATTGTTATAAGCTCATTATATGATGATTATGACCTACCATGTATATATATATATATGGGAAGTGTTGTTCAAAACTAATTTCAGTTCTTATTGTTCAAGCATAGTTTGTCCATCAACTTAGGAAAAGCAACAGTAGTGTTTATGCATATTGTTTGTTGCCGATAAGTAAGTGTATTCGCTCTTGATAGCAATTTGGAAGTACTTTCCATTTTGCAGATGACTAATTACCTCTGTGGATGGGAATATAGCAGTGATTTTTCTGGCTATTTTTACTAAACTACTCCGATGTCCAACATAGACTTCTATCAGTAGTCTTTGATAGTTTGTTTTGGTGTTAAAGGATACCTACATAGTTTGATTATTTATAATGGTCACAGATACGTTTGTACGTTGAAAATTTTACTGATTGTTTTCCACATACTAGACATCCAAGGTTGTTTTTGTCGTGCGAACAAATGTTGCATTTCATGGGTCAGTGGTCGATGATTGCCCTGTTCCTGGAATGGCTGTCAGCTTCCAAGTAAGTTTGTTTATTAAAAATAATACAAGGAAACAGACAACGTTTGTTAGATAATTTTTTATGATCATTAACGTTAAAATGATCTTAAAACTAGCTAATATGATAAGTTTTAAGTATGACGAAACGCATATCCTGGACACCATTGGTAGCCGCTATCCGAAAATATGATAAAACCTGTAAATACTGGTAACATTCATTCAAAGTGGAAATACGCCAGTAGAGACTGATCAACATTCAGTGTAAGGTATTAGCAAAGGGCAAAAGCAAACCCTTTAAAGCTAGCATTGTTTGGGTTATCTTTTATGAACTATTGTATTACCAAGTTAAGGCATTGTAAATTCTAAAATAAACGTTCTTAAGATTTTCTTGTGATATGTATACGACATAGTATTGCGATGGGAAATTATTGATGAATATGCTAAATTATTTAAAGAATTAGATTCAACTTATCTAAATGCAATTTGTCTTAATGGAGTTTATTCCTCAGGGTACAAACTTTGCGTCGTGAATTGTTTTCGTTATACTCGTTAATTGAATAGCGAGTGATGTTAGTGGGTTGACAAATCTTCATTACCTTAGTATTGTGCCACATGTTACGGTTTTCCATTTTAATTTCTAGAGATCAACCTCAAATATAATCACCTATGGAGATATGGTACTGGTCAAGGGGTTAGATAGTATCATGTTTTTTGTGAAACCTTATGGGTTTAGGGAAGAAACTGGTGGAAATCTGCAAAGTAATTTTTTCAGAAGTTATCTGGTGTATCTGTTCTTGTTATAAATCTCGTCAACATTATTCGACTGTATAACAAAATAAGTATACGTAACTAAGAAGAACTTTATTGATAGAATATGATTGCCTCACTGCTTTCTTGGCAGTGAATATGCGTATTTTCCAAAACTTTCTCTCGATCTTCCAGTTTCTAAACTGCTCGAAATTTACATTTACTGGTCATCTTTTAACTTGTTTTAAGAATATTTATAATCTATTATATGGTTATGTTCCAGTGTGAGGATTCGCATTAAATTACAAATAGCTGAAGTCGTTTAGATCTTTTGGTCTAGTTTGAGCGAAATATACTCAATAAGCTATGATTAATTTATAAAACTTAGGTGGGGAAATTTGATAAAATCTGGTCTTTAAAAGCACTGGTCAAACCTTACAATTTATTATATCTACAAAGAAACAACTGATGCTATTTTTCCTTCATTAAGTAATTGTGTTAGGACTAATAATAGGAATAATAATAATAATGGTGGTGGAAGTGATAGGAGGAAAAAGAAAAAGTGTAAATTAAAGTAATTTAATTGTCGTCTCTACTAATTAATATCGGTGAACTAATAAATGAAAGTCAACTTACAAGACAAATATATAATTATGTATCTGAATTAAACGAGAGTGTTCACTAGTAATCCTTCTAAAGATTAAACATATGATTCTCTATTTTTATAATAAACACACTAGCCTTTACATTACGCGATCTTAAACCGTTTTTTGTTTCAGTCGATACTTCCAATTCCAATGGTTTTTGTACTGAATTTGATTGATGATGTCAAAACATCTCACTTGAAATTAATTAGAAAGTTGTACTTCATTTATTAGTTGAACGTGAACCTTTTTGTATGAGCATCAATTAAAACTTAATAACGTTCAAAAAGCCGGTGACGTGTAATCTGTTATTTGGAAATGATGTCTAAAACTTGTAGATTGTGTTTAGAGAATTTTTAAAAAAATATTTGTTGATACATGTGTCTAATTGTATCGTTTTCGGCATTTTAGAAATACTACTCTAAAACTTAATTCAGTGGAAATAGTAAAACCGAACTGTACCACCGAAGCTATGGTGAACGTGCGAATCTCTTCAAGGCCATGGTGCATAGCAGCAGATAGGATTAAGGTTTAAAGTTTAAGATACAGAATTTAGAAATTTGACATAATAATTAGAATTAGGGGTTTGGTTTGGGATTACCATGTAAATCTTAGGTCTTGGGAGCTAAAGTAGGATGATGCGTAGCTCTGCACACACTGAGCGCAAAACATAATTCAAATCTTAAACGACATCTTTGGTTCTATCTGTAACCCTGTATTTCCGAATTCTTCACTTTAACATTAAATACTGAACTCCACATTCTAATTCTAAAACCTAAGTCACTGTCCTAGCAATCTACTGCTGCTTAAATAAGTTAAGATGTTTTAAAACATCACATCCTAAATCCCATATTCTACATCCTAATTAGAAACCATAGACCATCCTAATCCTTAGTATTAGTCCTAGCATATTAAATCACTCATTAATCGTTGTTGTTTCCTGACTATATAAAGTAGGTTTAGGTCGACTTTATTCTGAAACGTTATTCATCTATATGCCTTTAGGTTAAAGATTTTCTGCATATTAAAGAAAAATTTAATAATGAATGGTGGATTGGTCGGTTGGTGAAAGAAGGTTGTGATGTTGGCTTTATTCCGTCACCAGCAAAATTGGAGGCTATGCAAAATTTCGGTGCTAGAGGTATGAGGTAAGTATATTAACCATGTTTTTCATCAGTTTAATATAATGCACACCATGTGTATCATGTTTGTGTCTGCATATGAATATGAATATTTAAGCGCTCACTCGTAAAACCAAAGATCTTGATTCTGATTCCTGGTGGCGGGGTCGTGGATATATAGTTCTGACGAGCTCCACATTAGGACAACACAACTTTCTGGTACCTTCTGTTTTCGATGGTGATCTAGTTAAGATCAGCCCGGTATTTGACTTCGCTGTTTAACTCGATTTTATCTGTGACTGTATTGTGTATATATTTGTTTTATATTTTTATTTTTAGCAAAAGTTCTACAGGTAATTTTGATAATTCACGAACTGGAAATTCAAGGCCATCAACACCACCAGGTATTTTGGGCTTTTTATTTCGAACTATATGTATGTAAAATCATCCATTATTTTTTCCAGTAGAGATCATGTTATAACAATTTGAGTTTTAAATTGTATTTTGAGTTTACCTTTAGTTATCAAAATTCCTCAATATGGACCTCTAATTAAAAGGTTTAAATCCTTGCTATTCACGGAACAGTACTTCATCTCATTTGTAAATCTCTGTAACATTATGTCTAAAATATTTTGATTTAAAATTAATAAATATAAACCACTGAGATTTATAATCATTATAGTCAATGTTTGTCGCATTCTTTGTAGATAGAGTAGTCATATTTGTTTCGTCCATAAATTTGTCTTAGGTAAAAGCGTATAGGAAATTATATTAGTTCATCGGTTGTAAACAATAAAGAACGAGACACAAATGTGCATAATATCAGTTTATCACACTTTATAGCAGCGCTGAAATTAACTTAACCAGTGACTGAAAATTAAAAAAAAGGAAGAAGAAATGTAGATCATATGAACTACTCACTAGTGTCCTGCCCCTATATTCTTCAGGAGCAGCATAGATAACTATCTAATCTCTCATATATAATATGCATGTAATTTGTCTATTTTGATCTTACTCTATAACTTAATATCCTGGAAACAACTACAAATATCTAAACATTTTTTAAATCTTATTGATCTAAACACGTAGTAGTTGTTAGATTTTCTAGACTTCCCTTTGGAAAAGAAATCAATAATTACAAATATACACCCGCCTATTATTCACATGCCTTTATCAAATTATTTCTGAATGTGAGAAAGGCATAGTAAATCAGTAATTCTATAACGAAACAACGTTAGAGGGTTTGTTCTCAGATATATGTAGGGAAAATAATTGTAAAATGTTGGTTTTATTGGTTAGGCTATCAAAGAAGAAGCACTGAACAACTGGAGAAACAGCATTACGAAGGTTCAATACAACCTTCCTTCGACATACTGACAAACTCAACGAATTCAGGAAAGCTCTCAAAAACAAATTCTAAGCCTTGCAAGATCTTTTGGAAGAAGAAGGAACTAGGTAGTGGTTGGAGGTAGTCGACAGGAAACCCTGGACCCGGGTTTCGTGCTACTTGGCACTCGTCAGCAAGGTGTACCTGTAATCTTTGAGGGAACTGGTGCTCCCTGGCGGATTCGATCCCGTGTCACCCAGCTTCACAGTCGATCGATAGCATTAGATCTGCACTAATAATAAGGACTAGACACGCATGACATTGGTCATCCAGTGATCAATCAATTGTGAAGAAGGAACTACCGTGGAGTACAACTGGGAAGAGATCAAAAAAGCACTGACCTCAGCATGTCAGGAGGTACTAGAACGCAAGAAGCGTCATCATAAAAAATGCATCTTTATCAAAAACCTTGGCGAAATTCAACAAAGGAAGAACAAGAAAATAGCAATTATCAACAACCGAACAAGAACAGAGATAGTCAAGGTACACTCCAAATACACTGAAGCAAATAAGTGAGTGAAGAGGAGCATTGTAGCTAACAAGCAGAAGTATGTGGAAGACCTATCAACGACAGCGGAGAAAGCGGCAAAAGAAGGAAATATCAAACAACTATATGACAAAACGAAGAAACTAGCAGAGAAATATATTAAACCAGAAAGACCAGTCAAGGACAAAGAAGACAAGACAATCACTGAGATTCAAGAGCAGAAGAACTGGTGGGTGGAACACTTCGAGGAGCTCGTGAGTAGGCCAGCTCCATTGAATCGACCTGCATCAAAGCAACACATACAGGCATTCCTATAGCTGTCACTCTATCAACGATCGAAGAAATCAGGATGGTCATCAGACAGATGAGTAGTGGGAAGACATTAGTTGAACCAAACGACATGCCAACTGAAGCGCCGAAGTCAGACACAGACGTAACTGCAAACATACTCCATGTTCTATTGGAAAAGATTTGGAAGGAATAACAAGTGCCGACATATTGGAAAGAAGGATTCCTCATCACGTTATCGAAGAAAGAATGTTTGAGCAAGTGTGAGAACTACAGAGAAATCAAACGACTATCAGTACCAGAAAAAGTTTTCAATAGTGTTGCCGAACCGGATAAAGGATTGAGTGGACGTGCAGTTTTGAGATCAACTTGCCGTATTCCGTAAGGATCGGTCGTAAATAGACCGAATTGTGACACTACGGATCATCGTTGAACAATCAGTTGACTGTAATTCGTCACTATACATAAACTTCCTCGATTATGAGGCGTTTGACACCGTGAATAAAATAACTTTATGAAACATTCTCTGACACTATGGAGTACCTGGGATATCGTGAACATCATACGGAATTCCTGCGACACTGCAAAGTGGTGCATGGAGGACATCTGACACATGCATGTCATATGAGGATCGGAATCAGACAAGGCTGCGAACTCTCGCCCATTCTCTTTCATTTGCCGGTTGGATAGAATTTAAAGACCTCTAAATCTCAAGGGAAGCACAGAATACAATCGACAGTTTGCATGCAACTAGACGGTTTGAACTTTACAGATGATCAAGCCCTTCTATCTCGTAAACACCAACAAGTGCAGATGAAGACAACTAGTGTAGGCGCAGCCTCTGCATCAGTAGGCCTCAACATGCACAAGAGAAAAGGCAACATCTCTAAATACGACACAGAGAACACCGACCAACGCTATCACACTTGATAGAGGAACTCTAGGACAGGTGGAAGGTTTCACGTAGCTGGACAACATCATCGATGAGCGTGGAAGATCTGATGCACACGTAAAGACAAGGATTGTCAAAGCAAGGACATCATTTCTACAGTTTAAGAACATGGAATTCAAAACAACTGAATGCAAGCCAACATCGAAGTGAGAATCTTCGACACGGACGTCGAGACAGTTAGTTCTACTGTACGGGATTGAAACGCACAGAACTACTACAATTGCCATCAAAATTGCACAAGTGTTCATAAACAATTGTATACACAAGATACTCACTATCTGTTGACTGGATACCATCAGCAACAACCCACTGTGGCAGTAAATAAGCCAGGTTCCAGCTGAAGAGGGAATTAGGAAAAGTTGTTGGAGGTGGATAGGATATATATTATGGAAATCATCAAACTGTATCATGAGACAAGCAGTAACTTGTAGTCCTGAAGGTGAATGAAAAAGAGGAAGGCTAAGGGACATATTGCGTCTGGAATCGCAAGCAGACATGTGCAGGATGAATAGCATCTGGACAGAACTGGAAAGGATTGCGTACGTCAAAGTTGAATGGATAACACTAGTGGGTGGCTAATGCCCCTCCACGTGCGAATCAGGCGTAATTGAGTAAGTATCAATCAGGAAATTGGAATCTAATTAAGGCTGTACTAAAATAATTATTGTTTGCTGATCATCCGGTTTTATAAGGAAGAATATAGCTTTGGGAAGATAAAAGTAAAACAACACCAAAGAATCACACCAAAATTTGATAAGCTAACAGATTTCACAATGTTTTCACTTATTCATCGTTCAACTTAGGATTAAAATCAGGAAATTTTTAGATTTTACCTGGAGGTCATCTTCTGTTTATTATTTTCGGTCATTTTCGTGACCATGAGCATACGTATCACTTGATTGTTTTAGTTGTATTTCTTAATTTGAAAACGAGATTCTACTTCAGGAATTATCTTAAGAGATAGAGGTAGTAGGTCACATATCATGTTTATGAGTTATCGTATAAATGCATTATTTATGCTTTCGGTTTACTTACTTACTTACTTACTTACGCCTGTTACTCCCAATGGAGCATAGGCCGCCGACCAGCATTCTCCGACCCACTCTGTCCTGGTCCTTCTTTTCTAGTTCCATCCAATTCTTGTTCATTTTTCTCATATCTATCTCCATTTCTCGGCGTAATGTATCCTTCGACCTTGAGGATTCCATATGAGGGCTTGTCTTGTGACGCAGTTCGGTGCTTTCCTCAATGTGTGTCCTATCCACTTCCAGCGCTTCTTCCTGATTTCTCCCTCCACTGGGATCTGATTTGTTCTCTCCCACAGTAGGTTGTTGCTTATAGTGTCCGGCCAGCGGATCTGAAGTATTTTGCGTAGACAACTGTTAGTAAACACCTGTATCTTTTGGACGAACCTCATGACATGTTGAAGTGATTGCCTCTTTTATCTCTTTCCAGTTGCTCTCCATAGTAGTTCCTTCTCCATTGAGTAGATCATGAAAGGCTTGAAACTTATTGCTGAGGGTTATCTTGAATTTATTGAGTTTGTCAGTATCCCGAAGAAGAGCCGTATTAAATTTTTGTGATATTGTCCTCCCCGTTGTCCAGTGCCTCTTGAGTTTCAATTTCATCTTGGCGACCAGCAAGTGATTATCTGATGCTATATCAGCTCCTCTCTTTGTTCTCACGTCCTCCATTGTCCTCCTGAACTTTTTGTTGATGCAGATATGGTCGATTTGGTTCTGTGTGCTGTGATCCGGTGAAGTCCATGTGGTTTTGTGTATGCGTTTATGTGGGAATATAGTCCCGCCTATGACCAGTTTATTGAAGGCACATAGATTTGAAAATCTCTCACCATTTTCGTTCCTTCCTCCGAGTCCGTGTCGTCCCATGATCTCTTCATATTCGGTGTTGTCAATTCCAACCTTGGCATTTAGGTCTCCCATCAGAATGGTCAAGTCCTTTGTTGACTGCAGCCTATCGTAGAATTGATCTTTAGCGTCTTCATTGTAGTTGTTGGTAGGCGCGTAGCATTGAATGACGTTCATTGTAATGCCCTTTTTCTTTGTTTTGAAGGAGGCTTTGATGATCTTTGGTCCATGAGATTCCCATCCTACAAGTGCATTTTGTGCTCGTTTGAACAGCATCAATGCAACTCCTTGTGTATGTGGGGTATTTTCTTCTTCATTTCCGGAGTATAACAGCAGCTCCCTTGAAGCTAGTCGTTGTTGTCCCACTTTCGTCCAATGTGTTTCACTGATCCCAAGCACCTCTAGGTTGTATCTCCTCATTTCTGCAGCAATTTTGAAAACTTTCCCAATCTCCCACATTGTACGAGCATTCCATGTACCTAAATAAATGGTTGCTCTGGTTGTCAGAAGGGGCATGGGCCTCGTGACTTCCGAAGGAACTCAGCTTTCATCATGAGGCGTCATAATTCTTCTGAACGAAGACCTTCTGACTCCCAGGGCAGAGTTTAAATGGTTTGAATAATTTTTTCTGGTTAGCGTTTTTTTAGCGAGTTATTTTTCTACGGGATGGGGTCGCTAACCCCATGCCCAACCCTCCTCCTTTATCCGGGCTTGGGACCGGCAGTGGCCCCCGGAAAGGGACTCCAGACGGAGTTATGCTTTCGGTTTGGTCTAGGGTAATACATACCTTTTTTACAATAATCTATAAATATTTATTTGATAATGAAGCTATGGTCAAATAATTTTTCTTGATAACCGTGATCACTATCATTATTAGAGTATATTTTTAAAGTATGCACATATTTTATAATTGTTAAAAATTTTCTTTGATTATAATAATCATCGTACGACTTATGGCTTTCAACTATAGCTGATGGTGTCGACACAATTAACAGAAGTTATGATGAAGACAGTAATCCTAGACGAGAAACACCATCCGGTAAAGCTTCCGTCAGTGCAAGAGGTGGTCGTAAGCCATTTTTTAAGAAAGTGAGTAGAATGAGACTCTATTTATTTTTTTATGATGATAGTACATATGTAATACTTGACTGTCTCAATGTAAGCCGCTTCTACAGAGAGTAAATAAGTAAATAAAATTAACCCAAGTTTATGTAGTACGAAGGAACAGAGCAAGAATATTTGGTGTGATCAGTCAAAAAAAGTCTAACCAAGTCAATGTCATGTCACTCCAGTCAAGGTGATTTTTGTGAGGCATGTTTGTGTATTTATGTGTATATGTATGTTAAAGGATGAAAAAATGTGACATTTGTGCTGAAAAAAAATACAGTTAAATTTATCAGTATAGGTTTGTGGAGATTGTTAAGTTTAGGTTGATATCATGAATAGATGAATGTTAGACCACCATTGTAAACCTGGTGTGAGATGTGAATATAATCAGATATGGTAACTCAAATAGATGGTCAAAGTCGGATGGATAGTGAGGCCTTTTTTATTAAGGGCAGTAGGATTAAGCAGTTTATTGAAAGCTTCAGCTACTTGACTTTCTTTGTACTTGGAAGAGCCTTTTTGTATTATTTTGATGTTTGTAGTATCGATTTGATGGTCGTTGTAAATGGCATGAACTGTTGTTGCCGATTTAATTTGGTGTCATTCTAGTTCTCTGGGATTATTAGGCGGTTTCTTTGTGTACCTAAGATGTTCGTTGGCTCGAGTCAAGATTTCACGAGATGACCCTACATGTTAGAAGTAATCACAATCGACACATCCTGATTTGTAGACACGATTCTGTGTTGTCATAAAGGGGATTTTTCCCTTTATGCAAACTAAAGCATTTCAAAGGGTATTTGTTGTTTTGTAATATACTTTAATTCTGTGTTGTTTTAAGACACTGGAGTTCTGTTGTACCATGGAGGTATGGTAAAACTACAGTACCAATCCATAGTATCTCATTCGAATTATTATTTGGTAGTAAAACGTCTCGTTTTATTGAACACTTAATAATCTTCATAGGAAAATTGTTAAATTGGGAGATGTTATTTATATGCTTTTGATCTTTTTATTTATCCTCTTTAGATGTAATAATCTCGTTTGCTCTTCTAAAGATATTTAGTGCCAAAGAGATTTTCGCACTCAATGAATGTGTTGAATTGAAGCCGATATAACTATTTAAGTGTGTTGGTTTTCGGTAGATGGTTAGATTTAGAGTTCCACTTACATTTCTTTTAACTAAACAATCTAAAATGGTAGCTCACCTTGTTCATTTTCAATCTCATTTGTAAATTTAATGTGAGATAAGAGTGTATTGATCAGTTCAGAAAAAAAGGTCATAGGTCAGTCTTTTTCATGACAACAAAAGTATCATCTTCATATCTGGTCCAAATTGGCAAAAATATTTGATTCTGTATGTGACATAAACATGCTAGCTACAATCGGGGACACGAGGAATCCCACTGCTACTCCGTTTGTTTGCTTGTATAATGTTCCATTAAAAGTAAATAAGGTTGAATTGAAGCACAGTTTTAGGCGTTTTATAATTAGGCCGGTGCATAATGGACATCTGACAGATAAAGTATTGTCATTCTCTAGTGAACCACTAATAAAATTTAAGAATTTATCAATAGGAATACTATTACATAACGATACAGCTACATAGTTTACCATGATCTTATTCTTTTCGATAATTAATTCCGATATTTTTTATTTAAAGTTATTGGAAACTTTAGTTATATTATGTCAATTGTGTTAAAGTGGCTTTAGTATATTGTTCAGATATTTAAGTAATGCATATGTTGCCGTGTTTGTAAAGTCTACTAGCAGTCTTAGTGGGATGTCTGATTTATGAATTTTAGGTAAACCATAAAAACGCTAAGTGGTGCATGATTTGGGATATAAAAGTAAACCATAAAGAGACTCCAATGACTGGTTTTAGTTCTTTCAAAAGTTGACTTGTCTCCGATTTGACTTAATTTTTAACTGTTTGAAAATATTTTGGATCAATCTTTTGATATGGTCCTGTGGAATGATGCTCAAAAGCTTCAGTATCATAATCCTTTTTATTCATGGATCCTGTTGTGTTGCTGTTGTTAGCTTTCGTGATTAAAATAGTTATATCCGTGAAATATAGATTTTGTTAAGGTGACCTTCGTAGAAAAATTTCAAGTAAATGAGTTTTCATGGTTGTCTTGCAATTACTGTTACACTAACTAAGGAAAATGCCTATAAACTAATGTAAGCAACTAGTAAGAAACCATATAATCAAATGATTTTCTTTAAATGTTTTTTGATCTACTAAGACCCGATAACGCAAAGAACTGTTCAGAAGTTTTTATTCAAAAACTCTTATTTTATTAATAAATTGATAGGTTAGGAGATGTATTGTTAAAGAATGTCATGTATTCAAAATCGATTTCAACGGTTTCAAAACGAACAACCGTTTAAATGAGAGTTTTTCTGTGGATATTGAAAAAGGCCATTTTACAATCGAAATACCTCCTCGTACCTATTTGGTTTATATCCGTTCTATTCAGTTTACTACGTTTCTAGACTCGTCATCAGTACAAGGTATCACTGTAAAGCTATCTCCGCTTAGGAATTAATGAGCATGGTAGCTTACATGAACAAAAGTATCAATGAAAAAATCAAGCCACTTTCTGTCATGAAGTGTATCTTCAAAAAGTAGTTTTCGTGTATCTAAATTCACCTAAGAGTATCAAAAACAGGATAATTCAAATCATTACAAATTATAATAAAATGCATACCCGTTTCACATGCTGATGTCTATATGAGTTCGGTGGCTCACTTGATAAAGTGTTGAGTGTCTGAGGCGAAAAATACTAGGTTCAAATCCCAGTGACATTATGAATACATGCATCTTCAGCTGACAAGTTCCAAGTAGGACGAAGCGAGCATCTTATGCTTTGCTTTTAGCTACATTATATCTATTCCATAGAATGTAGTTTCCGTAATTATGTTTGTTTACTGTGAATACAGTTTTATGAAGTACTTTAATAATAGAAATCTTAGGTGAGCCACTCACAGTAACTCATTATCAGTTATTTTTATTTAATCAAAAATTAAGCTCCCGTTAACTGACATTTAATGAATAGTATTTCCTTCATTCATAATTCTTTTCGTTGAATGGATCACTTCAGTTATCTATTTTTTTTTTAATATTACAGAGTGATAATTTACCTCCTTACGATGTTGTACCATCTATGCGTCCAGTGGTTCTAATCGGTCCTTCGTTAAAAGGTTATGAAGTAACTGACATGATGCAGAAAGCCTTGTTTGACTTTTTAAAACGGCGTTTTGAAGGAAGGTAATGCTTTGTTTTTTACAATATATATATATATATATATATATATATATATATATATATATATATATATATATTTGCACGTGAATTTTTTTAGTGCTCTAGTTTTACAATACTTTAGTTATTCTTGTTTGAATGACTCTTAACTTATTAAAGTCTACTAACTTATCTGAGTTAAAATGAAATAATATGGAACAAGTTAGTTATATCGAACATTAGGGTAAAAAGAGACTAAATTGAATGGTTGGTCTTCCTTAATTTTGGTATACATACTTCCTGTAAAGCTTACTTGTCATTTTTATAAAACTTTATTAAAAGACAATTCATTGCAAGTATAAATTCTTCTAGCTTCTAAATTTATAGGGTGTTTTTTAACAATCAAAATTGTCAATTAATCGACACTACATATATTCCCTTCAAAGGTGCGGTGTATAGTATCAATAAATTGTTTCGACGAACACATAATCTGTTATCTTAACACTTCGTCTCGAACACACTAAAGCAAGGAACTACTTTAAACATTGTTAACGTGATTGGATGACTTATTTAGCATACAGTTAACTGAAGAACCATGTACCTGTTTGTATTCGATAATTTTGATTATATTTCCCTGAAAATGCTTGGACCAAATCGCCATTCGCTGAAGTTTTACAAATACATTCTTCATCCCTAACTGTTTCAACATAATTTAAATCATTCAAGGGTTTTAGTTTTATTTTAACCGGAAAATTTTCATTTTTGAATTAATTCAACTTCTAATCGGCTAGTAAACTAATGACTATTGAACATCTATATTATCCTAGTTAGAACATTATTACTGATACGTACAGATAATGTAAGATAGCATAGAACCACGGGTATTTTAAGTTTTTCCATGAGCATTGTCGTATTAAATGCTGAAGATGATATTCACTAACACAGATGTTTTGATCTTAGTCTATTTGTAGAATGATGCGATAATCATCTAATACAATTTTCTAGTGAGATCAGTTGACTAGTATCGAAATAAGCTTTCTTCAGTCTCGGTAAAAATCCCCCACCTATTTTGTCAATGATAATAAACGAGAAGTATTTAGTTACCTTTAATATTTAACAACGATCAATCATTACCACAAGTTGATTGAAGTTATAAAATGTCGGCCATTTGGATTCCGACTCAGCATCTTTTAATTACTGTGTTCATCTTGTGACCTTGATCACATGGATTCGACTTCGTATAAGTTCGTTGATACATGTTACTGAGGTGTTCAAAACTAAGATTAAATATCTATCAAATATTCATGGGTTTTATTGGTTTTTCAGTTAACTTTAATCCTTAATAATAGTGTTTAAAGTGAACTAATCTTTTTACAAAATTTACTCAACTAATTAATGATTATTCTGAGGGTGTATTCTTCTCCTAAAATACACACTGTAAATAGTTCATTTTTTGCTTAACTATTATATTTTTATTTCAGAATTATCATAACTAGAGTGACGGCTGACATATCACTTGCTAAACGATCCCTACTTAATAATCCTACTAGAAGAGCTATTATGGATAAATCTTCTACAAGAAATCAATCATTAGGTAAATATTAAACTATCAGAAATTTCGGTCATATTATTATTTCATTAGGTAGTCAATTTAACTTTTATGCTGACGAAAACGTTCCAAATATAATGTTTTCTATCATGTTAGCTAAGATCTGATGTTGGATTATTTTAAACAATTTACAAAGAGATGAATTATGGCCAGCAGCGCAATCCAGAACTCGTGCTTTGTCCTATTTGGGACACGTTGGTTGGATGTATCTGCATCCCAGAGTTGATGTTCACTCTGGGACTCGAAAGGTACTGGGTTTGAGTCCCAGAGTGATGCAGGTACATCCAACCAACGAGTCTCAAATAGGATGAAACGCGCATCCTGGATTCTACTGCTGGCTATCATCCATCTTTGCTTATAATGCTAATGACTTAATGTTGATATCTAGGCAATCCCTACAGTATACATACATATCAAACAGGGATTGATCGATTAGCTTCCTAAACATCATTGGGAAGATTCAAACAACCAGTAAAAATAAGTTTACCGGAAGCTTTCATGTCGAATAAATAAATTTGTATACATACTTATGCTTTTTGCTAATAAATAGTACCAGTCAAAAAATTAGGTAAATATGGTTTTGTTTAAGCAATTAAGTGCTTCATGATATCTGGTCCTTTAGCTTTGTGTAGGAATAGAAAATATTTACTGCTATATTATAATAAATACTGAGGAACAAGCTTTTGACCACTTATAAGAGATCGATTGTTTTATTCTTCATTTCCCAATAACATGCGCTTATATGACATACATTTCGAACCAAAGAAAACACTATGTACATTAGCAATATAATTGATTATGTTGAGTAAAATAAAATGCTATTTTATCTAGAGGTCAAATAATTTCAGATTGTTCAGCCTAGTTGTTATCCACCTGTCACACAGACGTATATATGTTCAGTACAGATATAGCCTATCATATTCAAGTAGCTTCAGTGGGTATGTAGATAAAACTGAATTCCTTTTACTAACTAAGGAGCCGAAACGCATTTTGACTGGCTAACTTATGAAACACAGTCACTAGTGAATCAGATTTGATCCGTCTGGACATTTTTTATCCATAATCACTGACATTTGAGAAATAAGACGAGATGAATAAGCACTGAGAAGAGCTATTAGGATTTACTGTAGATAATATTATTTGTAGGGACTGAGGGTTATAAGTAGAACTATCATGTATAGTCTTGAAGATCATCTATCAAGTGTGATCTTATGATGTCAGTCTCAAGTCTTTGCAACTAGTTACATGGTTTCGAAATGAAAGTTCGAAGATTTCTCCTTTTCAATAGATTTTGTTCTACATTGCTATGAATGAAATTTCTTCCAAATGCTATCTGAAGATCCTAAATTTTCAGTCAACTCCAGTATACATCCCATCATCCTATAATTTTTACCTGCCTTTAGATAATGCAGTATTTTATCCAGTTTCTAAATAGCTTCTTTTATAATGTATCATTGTGAAATTACCGTCGTTTGTTTGACGGTTACTTGTATTTCATATAATTTATTTCTGTACATGTTCTGTTGTAGTTGTTATTGTTGTTTCCTTTATTCTTGATTAAAGAGGTTCAACAGGAAATCGAACGCATATTTGATTTAGCTCGTACACAACAACTCGTCGTACTGGACTGTGATACAATTAATCATCCAAGTCAATTATCTAAAACATCTCTTGCACCAATTACAGTTTATTTAAAAATAAGTTCAACAAAAGTACTTCAACGTTTGATTAAAACACGTGGTAAATCTCAAGCACGAAACATGAATGTTCAAATGGTTGCAGCTGAAAAACTCTTACAATGTACTAATGTAAGTTGAAAATAAATTAACTTTGTAAAAGTTATTCTTTCAATTAAACAATAATCTTTTCAATATTTTCTAGAAATATTTATTTTCTAATAAAGATTTCAAATGTTGAACTCATATAAATAATTTCAGTAGTTGAAATCATGAATCAATTGAAGCTAGACCACCATGGAAAACCTGGAAGCACTGGACGGCCGTTTCGTCCTAGTATGGGACTCCTCAGCAGTACGCATCCACGATCACGCCCCTCGAGGGATTCGAACCCAGGGCCTATCAGTCTCGTGCCAGGCACTTAACCAACTAGACCACTGAGCCGGCATCCAACGGTGTTAATACCTAACTTCAATTGATTCATGATTTCAACTATTGAAATTACCAATTCTCCACAAAACCCCTTCTAGTAATAATCATCTGCTCGCTAGTGACTGACTTCAAGAGATACTTCTGGAGTTCTAGTGAGAAGCCGTTACCAGTGGAGTTCAACCAGGTCTGTTGTGAGATATCAGCTCACTGAAGACAATGGTGTACGGTGGCGCAACTTCGTGGATTGGTTGAAGTTAGACATTAACACCGTTGGATGCCGGCTCAGTGGTCTAGTTGGTTAAGCGCCTGGCGCGAGACTGATAGGTCCTGGGTTCGAATCTCGCGAGGAGCGGGATCGTGGATGCGCACTGCTGAGGAGTTCCATACTAGGACGAAACGGCCGTCCAGTGTTTCCAGGTTTTCCATGGTGGTCTAGCTTCAATCGATTCATGGTTTCAACTATTGAAATTACCAATTCTCCACAAAACCTCTTCTAGTCATATAAATAAGACTAAATTTTGTTAATGATCTCTACGTATATGATTCTAATATCAGGTAAATGAAAAGCTTTCAATGATATTTGAAACAATTAAGCATAAAAGATTAGACCAAATTGATCATCATTTAAGAAACATTTGAATGAAATAAGTAGGATCGTTAAGGAGTATGATAGCAGAAGAACAAGATTAGAGTTATGTGCTATTTGTTTGGTGCATAACATCTTAAAATTCCCGTGATTAATTATTCGGTTATCTTACGGGAATTGTAAATAATTTTACTATGTGATATTGTGCTAAAATCTCAAAACATTTAGTTGTGTGAATGTCTTATGAATTTACGTAAACTCCTTCATCATATATGTATATAATTCTTCATGCCAAAGTCATATATTTGTTTCAACACGCTTTTAAAAACAGTTGCAATTTTAAGTGAAATATTTCTTCCACACTGCTTCAGTATAACCCAATTGCAGTTTAGAGCGAAATGCTTTCCCAACTAAATGTTATATATATATATATATATATATATATATATATATATATATATATATATATATATATATATATAGTAAATGTCAAGCTCTCATTTCACATTGTTTACAATATTTTCATTGCTAAACAACCTGAAGAATACTTTTTGAGACTCACAATAAGAATCACTGTCTAAGTAGGAGTTTATTCAGAGGTCCTTGTTTGTTATTAAATTATGTTGTATAAATATATTTTTTGTCAGAATAGGGGTTTGTGAAGATTGTAGTAATTTTAATGGTTGGATTCATGAGTTGATTTAAGCTAGACCACTATTGAAAACCTGGAAGCACTGGATGGTCGTTCCGTCCTCAGCAGTGTGCATTCATGATCCCGCATACGGGACCTTATCAATTGATGATACTCACCACATAATTCGGATTTATAGTGAGTATTGAACAGTGGTTTATTACTGGTTTCGTTTTCATCAGTACACTACTTGGGAATATTTTTTTAATCCATGTTTTGTTGACATATATTCCTGTCATGATTTCTGATAGCTATTATCATTACCAATATTTCAATAATGTTACACTTTCATAGACTCATTTCGGTAATTAAATCAAAAATTATTTATCTGGCTATTTTCAAATTCTGGGGATTTTTAAAAAGTATCCCATAATTGCTGATAACTTGTCTGTTTGATCAATAAAATCAACGAAGATAAATAGGCTGACTTATAAAATTTACTAAATTTCATCAGGAGTGCTGACTGGCTGAAATTACTTTTGTCAATTTCGATTTCTTGTGGGTTTTCTACGATTAATTATTGACATCTTTCAACAATACGAAACGTAAAAGTTAGATAAAGTAAATTAATTAATTTTGGTTTTTAATTATATGTTTTTCAAACTTTTTAAGGATCAGTTTGATGTGATTTTAGAGGAAAACCAACTTCCAGATGCTTGTGAACATTTAGCTGAATATTTAGAAGCGTATTGGAGAGCCAGTCATCCAACTGGTAAAGTCACAAAAGCTGAACGTATCCTTGGAATTGGGACAGGTGCAAGCTCAAATCAATCTACTGAAAACGAGACGTCACATGGAACGCATCGGCGTCAAAGTAATGCATTTAAAAATGACAAAAGGAAAGGTAAAATTGATCAAGATTATAATGGATCTAGAGATTATTCAAATTCAATTTCTTCACCAAGACGAGGTTCAACTCAATTCGAAAATAATAGACGACGTTATGTAGATGAACAAGAATTACTTTCAGATGGTATGTACAGTTGTAAAGTACCGCAGCTACAAATACATTACCTCTTGTTGTATGCTATTAATTAATAATCTTAAGTTGTAAAAAAATCAAGAAATATAAGTTGAAATTAGTAGAAATACTTAGAAAACGAATTATGATTAAAATGTTGAGTTTACAGTTATGTCCTAGAATTCAATGTATTGCTTTACATCACCAAATTGCAAATGAATGCGTATTATTTGAATTAGTTATGTAATAATAAATAATAGAGAAAGAGTACTTTACGATAGATCGGAATAAGAATTATTTCCCGGGGTTTTCCATGTAGCTATCACTTCATGAAAAGTTTTGTATTTTAATATTAATAATCAGGGCATTATTAATTTTGCCAACCATTTTTATTCAACTAGAGTCGTTCATCCCTACTACCACACATTGTTCAAGCATGTAAAAGGTTTAATGAAAAAATAATTTTCATGGCTTTAAAGATTTATTTAATTGGAATAGAATTATCTTAATAAAGACACATGAATGTAATAGCTATTGGTTATGTTTGGGAAATTTTAACCCACAGACTGTGTTAATGATAACCTTATATGCTAGTTTAGACTCACTGTAACAATTCTAATTCAACTATTGAGCTATGCATAAAAGTCCTAAAGCTGAAACGTAAGCTATGTCTTGAAGTATAGTTGTATTACTTAGAATGCAATAAATAAATTTATGAAAATAAATCCTGCAATTATCAGCTTAACTGGAATGCTATTTTAAATTAATTCAGTCTCAGACTTTTTATTTATTCGGTCTGAAATTTAGACATTATGGTTTTTTAACAATTTAATTCATGGATAATCATTATGCTTGATAATTATAAGGAAGCACTGAACTTTTTTTTGACTTAACTGACTAATGTAATTATTGAATAGATTGAAGTGAACGAACTAACAATTCATTCACGAATTCGAAATCCGAATTTCGATTAAATGGGTATCAGAGAACACAACAGTTGCGCAACTTTACACTGAAGAAGTGACTTATATTAAGTCACGAAACGTCAGAAATACATTTTTCTACTCATTCAGAGATCACAAAAATGTATTTATTATTAACTTTCTACCCAATGCTGAATTTATTTGGAAAAAAATGTCGCACAACTGACTAAATGTTTCAGGGAAATAAATTAGTTAATTATATATAAAGTATTTGCTTAAGTTACAATGCTTATAAAAAATAGAAATAAAGATCAAGCAATATTATTCCATTTTCAAATATAAACACTGAAGTTTGCTAGGTGTAGTATTCAAAATTGCACTTTATAACATATTTCATCGTTATCGGGGCATGCCATTTTTCAAACTGAATAAACAGTTCGATATTTGTTCCTTGCATATCTTTACAATTGACTGATCACTGGGTAGTGATTAATGTCATGTGTACCGGGTGCTTCTTAATTCAGATTGAACTCTATCAACCAGGTTGCAATTTAGCCACTAATTTAAATAATTTCTTATCTCATGCACTATGTTGAGATGTAGGGTAGTTGTTGGAGTTAGTTGAAAGGGAAATAAATAGCACGGAACCCAGGTTCAGAGTTTCCTGTCGACTACCTTCAAGCACCACCTTACATACCATACATATTTTAGATAACTGTCAATTTTTGTATTCTGAAATCATTTCGACTATTAATTGGATTGAGGCTTGAAATATACTCGATTATAAATCCTAATTTTGAACATTCATTCAAATAGCTAATGGAGAACTACCGTAGTGAAAGAAAACTCCGGTGTGGAAAAACACTTTTTCTTGCTAATACAAACTAACGCAAAGTTTTTGCGAAATACGAAAATCATACATTAGACAAATTATTTAAAAATCTTCCTTTACATACTTCGTAATTCTTTCAATTCTGTTATTATTACAATTGCTCTGTTTCCGATCCTATCCTCTTCAATTCATTTTTCTGCTGGCAGGCATTTCACCTCCGATCGCTGCAACATACTACTTATACCTATCATCATAGGTAGCATAAACTACACTACTTCGGTCTTTTTTCAAAAAGCTTTTTTTATTTTGTCGACAGATGATTACCGTTACAAACCACATAATGAAATACGGACTGTTTGGAATAATACTGAAAAGAATATATATTCGCCATCTCATGAACATCGTTTATCGCCTAATCAGGTAAATTTATTTATTAGGCACTTTATTAGTTTATACCACATGACAAATTGTTATAATATAGTACTTGAAATTTGAGAAACGTTTTGCGGATCAGTATAAATTCATTTTAACAACACAGCCTAAAGCTCCGCGAAGTCGTTCATAACATTAATACTGTTTGCTTTTAAGGCATAGATTTGTCAGTAAATTATCTCTTTATAACTATTTCCACTTCAACTAGTAAATGTATCGAGAAATCGACTAAATCGTGTAAACAATTGCCGTAAATCAGTATTATTATACTTTGTTAGATTAATAATTAATTACTTGCACCTGTTAACCCTCGTGAAGGAACATAAACCGACAACCAAGATTTTCCATCGAACTCGGTCCTACTCAATCCTTCCCGGCTCTGTCCAGATGCTATTCATCCTGCACATGTCTGCTTGCGATTCCAGACGCAATATGTCCCTTAGCCTTCCTCTTTTTCATTCACCTTCAGGACTACAAGTTACTGCTTGTCTCATGATACAGTTTGATGATTTCCATAATATATATCCTATCCACCTCCAACAACTTTTCCTAATTCCCTCCTCAGCTGGAACCTGGCTTATTTACTGCCACAGTGGGTTGTTGCTGATGGTATCCAGTCAACAGATAGTGAGTATCTTGTGTATACAATTGTTTATGAACACTTGTGCAATTTTGATGGCAATTGTAGTAGTTCTGTGCGTTTCAATCCCGTACAGTAGAACTAACTGTCTCGACGTCCGTGTCGAAGATTCTCACTTCGATGTTGGCTTGCATTCAGTTGTTTTGAATTCCATGTTCTTAAACTGTAGAAATGATGTCCTTGCTTTGACAATCCTTGTCTTTACGTGTGCATCAGATCTTCCACGCTCATCGATGATGTTGTCCAGCTACGTGAAACCTTCCACCTGTCCTAGAGTTCCTCTATCAAGTGTGATAGCGTTGGTCGGTGTTCTCTGTGTCGTATTTAGAGATGTTGCCTTTTCTCTTGTGCATGTTGAGGCCTACTGATGCAGAGGCTGCGCCTACACTAGTTGTCTTCATCTGCACTTGTTGGTGTTTACGAGATAGAAGGGCTTGATCATCTGTAAAGTTCAAACCGTCTAGTTGCATGCAAACTGTCGATTGTATTCTGTGCTTCCCTTGAGATTTAGAGGTCTTTAAATTCTATCCAACCGGCAAATGAAAGAGAATGGGCGAGAGTTCGCAGCCTTGTCTGATTCCGGTCCTCATATGACATGCGTGTGTCAGATGTCCTCCATGAATTTCTTTGCAGTGTAATCTGTCGTATGAATCCCATATGATGGTTTTTTTGTCTATTCTGGTTGACATTTTTAGCAAGGTTGTTTTCAACGAGATAGTGTTGTTGACCCTATTCCCAACCGTCTTCTTTTACCCAGTGTTGAGACCAACAATAACTTTTGAATAGTTACAGGTGGCGTTACTTTGCTAAGTAGTATCTCTAAATAACTCTCGAATGACATGTTGCTTGATATCTAGTTAATTATTCTACGCTGCTTTTAATGATTACAATTGATATAATTTGTTATGATAACTCACAAGAGTTTGCATTACCCCCTTGTTAATGTTCACAATGAGTGTGCTTATTAGCATATGCCTCTTTATAACCTTCTTGATTGTCAATTGAAAGACTAAGTAAAATTCAGTCGCAAATAAAAATAGATTGATAACACATACTCTCACGAATAAATATCACAAGCGGTAAACAAACTAGTGCTATCTTTACTCGGTAACTTAGTGTGTAAAGAGTTGGAATTTGAATCGACAGAGATTAAATTCGAGTCTCATTGTAAACGTCAATACGTAGATGGAGATATATATGTAATAATGCCATTGATAATAATAATTTACACAGAAGACGAGTCCAAAGTATAATAAAGCTCACGTTCTTGATTTCATTTTTCGACACAATCCAAGTATACTAAATTACTTTGGTGAGAATTTAGAGGTCAATTTAATAATATGAATCAAAACAATTTTAAAGTTATTGGGATGAAAATAATTTATCAGCGAAGAAATGTAAGCAGTAAATCAAACAAAGCACACAAAATCAGCATCTGCATAGATAAATTCAGAAAAAAGTTGGTTGAAGTACATGTAGTTGCGCTTTGTACTTACGTTAAGATTATGGAAACAAACCTTCTATTCGATCGATCCGTAAGTGGGCAAAAGCTGAAGCCAATTTGTATTTTGATCAGTCGGTTCGATTTTTTATTAATATAAAAATATGTTTATGTATTACAAAACAGGCATTGCAACATGACAGACAAATGAAAGAATCCAATCGCATAAATCCTATATCTGTTGGAATTCATAACAGATATAATCATGATCCACAATATGATACTGAAGAATCCGATTCGCCTATGGAGAATGATGTAAGAGTATGAATATTTATTCAATTGATCAATTTGACACTTTAGTTGGCTTTCTCCTTTCCATAATGTACTGCTGATTTTTATTTTTTGAAAAGTTAAGTATTTGGTCGTTCAATTAACTTAGTATTTGATAAAAAATCAATTTTCCTAAAGAGAATATATGAGATAATCATTGTTACTATAAGTTGTTATAAGTTGAAAAAATGTACTTCCATCACAGTTTTCTTTCCATTCAGTAGCGGATATGCAACATTTTAGTATGTCATGAATTTCAGTAGTTCATTGTTATAGTAACAATAGTCTTTATCAATAATAAGAAAAGATTGATAAACAGAAGTTATTTGATAATTCGACATTTCTGCTGATTTTTATTTGATTATCATTTTGCTGGAAACAGTATATTGTTCAGGTGATATTAACATTTATTTGTTCAGAGTTCGGTTAATTCAAGTTTGATTTTATTGTAATATGGTTTTGTCTGAACATTCTTATGTAAAATATACTATTCGTAAACTTGCATAGCAAGAGTTAATCGAAATCAATGAAGAAGACGTATTTTTATCATCCTATTCATTAATTAATTAATTTGAATTCTATCACAAAGTGTATTTTTAGATTTTTATTACCGCTATCATTTATAGAAAGTTTGCCAAAAAGAAATATTTTAAATTGTGTACTTACTTGTCTACAACATAATTTAACAAGACAATATTTTCTGTTACTGAAATGGATTACGTCTTAATCGCACAGAAAGCTACTACAACACTTCCTTTTGGTTATGTATTGTACCAACCCCGAAATTGTACTCGATGATGCGCTTGGTGATCTGGCGCTATAGGTGAAACGATCGGCGACACTTTTCAAGGATAGAACTTATTAGTGTACCGAAATTTACTAGTGAATGGTGGTAGACATTTTTCTTCGTACATAGCAAAGTTCTGTCATACTTGCCATAAATTCGGATGAAAGTTCGAATGGAGGGATCTTTACAAGATAGTGATTCCAGGGAGAAATGTTAAATATTTTCCTTAATTTATCACATGTTTTACTGTTATATAGAGTTAAGAGTTATTGTTAATTGTTTTACAGGAATTTCATACCAGATTATAGTGTTATATTACTAAATCTTACTTTACTATCTATTTTTTTATAAAGTGGTAGCAGAACCATTGATTAGGCAATAAACTTGTTTGAATTCGATAGTAATTGTAATGGACCGTACAATAACGAAGAGTTTTACTACTAGTTACTTACGAATACATCTTTAACTAACCCGTACATAGTTTATATCGCTTGTACACTACATATATGTTCTTCCTATTCTCTGTGTACAAACAAATCTGGTAATTTGTTATTCTACACAAATAAAGAATTGACAACTAACGTTTATTTATCATATCTGAATGTAAATATACATAAAGAGATGATGGTTATAAGTTTGTGAAATTCCTTTTTACAAAGTACGAAAACATAATATGACTTCTGATAGAAGTAAAAAATGGTACTCTAGCTTAAATCAACACATGAATTCAACTAGAAATAAAAGAGTCAATCACAAAATGAAGTTATTCTTAATTACTCTATGATCATTATAGACTTAAGATTATTCACAGATTGTTTTACCGAAGTATGTTTTCTTTTCTCCACTAAATGTTACGTAGTTCTTTGTCCAAATTCTTTGTTCTTATGTACTTATTGATCAAGTAGTTTCGTAACAATTGTACATAGATAGTCTTTAACATTTATTTTTATGAAAAGTTTATTTACTGTTATCAGTATAGGGGTCGTGGGGATTATTAAGTCTATAATTGAGATCATTAATCGACCATGAACCGAATCCCGTGGGCCGGATCGTAGATGCGCATTACTGAGGAGTCCCACAATAGGACGAAACGGCCGTCCAGTGCTTCCAAGTATTGGTGGTCTAACATTAATCGGTTCATGATCTCAATTATTTACTGTTGTTTGTTATAAAATAAAGTTTTCACTGTTTAAACTACAGTGAACATATACTTATTTTAATTCACTTGTTTTTTCTTTCTTAGCGATTTCTTGTAGACTCAGGTTATCCAAAAACTAGAAGAAGTCGTCAAGGTTCAATCATGATTTAAATAAACTGTAATTTTATTTGCTTAGCATAATAATAATAAGAAAAATCATAAATCAATAGCTTTACTGATTATTTTTTACTCTTATATTTTAACATTTAGTGTAACATAATGTAAAGTTACATAGCATAATAGTACTTCATACATGTCAGTAATATTTTGTATCACATTATTTTTCAAATTTATTTACTTTAATTGTTGCTTTTGTTTTCCTTTTATTTTGTGATTTTATTTATCTATAAAGTTTACATTCCGAATAAGCTTTTTGTTAGTTTTTAACCACGCACAATATTCTTATTATCATTGAGAATATTAATTAGTTTTATTGAGTATTTTATCTCCTTTTAAAGTATATCATATTCAAGCTTTCAATATCAAGTTTAAATTACATTATGATGTATATATGATGAAATTATAGCAAATAATTAGACGTCATAATTGAATGATTTTATTATTTTATTTCGATTATATCACCTAATCTTGTATTTGATTGACTTAAATATTTTGTGTCAACAGTTTCGTAAAATTAAACCGTTTGTTCATTGATCATTCAAAGTGTTTAGAGTATCTGGAATCCTCACTTAAATATATATATATATATATATATATATATATATATATATGTTTTCTTAGAATTGTGGATTAACACCCATTGTTTATGACTTCTATCACAATAAAATTTAATATGTGAGACTGTTGAAAAGAATATTTATAAATAAAAAGTATTTCTTTAATGCATAATATCGTAAGTACAGGCTATAATTGATTTGTATATATCAAGTTAACGAATAATTGTAATTTCATCGAAATGTACCTACTTCATTGAATGACTTAGCTGATTCTGACTATTTAGAATTGAAGCAGTACTTTTCATTCATTAATAAGAACGTCATATTATTGGTAAAAGCCTCGCTGATAGAATATCTGAAGTTGTTAACTAACTTTTTTAAAGTTTACATTGCTTGTACTATATTACAATTTTACATTAAATTCATGTTTAATCAGGCATAGTCGATGAATGGTTTATTCATTGGTAACCTTCCCGACCATGCGGATGAGTTATGTGACAGAGGTTACTCAGGCGAGTTTTGGCCAAGAAAAGTTATATTTTTAGGACATTCTGTCACTTAGCTTATACTGTTTGACATTTAAGACCGTTCTTAAAAAATAGTCACATATGTTTTAGGAATAACATAAACTGTATTTCCAGCATATCAAGTACATCAACTAGTTCTGAGAAAAATTTCACTAACTATAGAACTTGTTGGTAGCCTAAAGTCATAATACTGCTATTCCAGGATATCTGGAAACGGCCACTGTTAGCTGGCTTTATACGTCTAACACGCTAGTGGGATGTTATTTTCGATTCATCCAGAACTAAGTGTTTCCAATTAGATAACTTGAGTTAATCTCTCAAGAACAATTAGACTTGAAATGAACATGGTTAACGTCAGAAGTGTATGATAGTAGAATTGAATTGTTAGGTTTCTTACTTTATAGGGCTGACAGACTTAATCGTAGGGGTAGTGAGATTATTCTGTACCTGAAAAGCACACAAGCCATATCAACCTTCAGGACAGTCACGCACGATTCAAGGGCATATGAACCAGTGCGCTGCCGGCCGAAATGCAAAGGGCAAGACGATGGTTAATAGAATGATTGCTCTGATTTGTTTAAATACTGCTCTACTTCACTATTCTGCCACAGTGACTATGCAAGTATCAACGATGGACCGACTTGCGGACGTAGACAAGTCTAACGTGTACGTGTCAACTGATAGCAACATCATACGACCTAACAAGCTACATTAGTCTTAATGCGCATTTCTATTTACAGGCGGTTCGATAAATACTTGATGATACATACTAACAGTTTTATTGGTGTTTCCGGTGCGTCTCTCCGTTTTGCTGTATACTCAGTTGCAAAGCATACTTAAACGTTTTGTCATGTATAAACAGGATGAACTCAAACTACTACCTACAATGAGTCCTAATAACCGATGGCTGACCGAAGTGTTCAAATGATCACAAGATGAAATTTAATAACAAAACTTTCCGGTTGTTGTGTCAAACGATCCATGAGTGAAAAAGGTAGTAGTATTTGTTTGAGTGTGTGTGGTGTTTGTATGAACTAGCGATTGTCTTGTTTATGATTCCTGGATCCTTCGAATTCTAAATACTAGACTTTTGCTTGTGCTAACCTAGTTCTATTTTGTCTAAATATCACTGTTTCGAGAATTCCTAGTTAACGCAATAATTCCAGTACTTCTATTCATCACATTGGCGTCGCAAATCGCTAAAATCCTGCACAGTTGGATATTAAATGAAGTGGATATCACTCTGAATACTACATGGAGCGGTCCAAAATCTGGTGCGTAAATAGAAAATATATTAAAGATGATGGGTTCACAGCCTATTTTCTGACGTTCATCAGCAAAGAAGCTTACAATCTGCAAAAGAATCTAGCTTTTCCAGAGAAATCAATCTCATTGTCATCTGGATCTTTCAGGGGATTACTACTTAGTCATGTGCAGTGTGCTAGCTTCGAATGCGAAGTGAGATCGAAGATCCATAAAATGATGCAACGAAATGATCAGAAAGTTAAAGAGTTTGTACTTGAACTAAAGAAATAGGCCGCGAAGTGCGATTCGGGCGACCAGTTTTAAACTTTGTGATCGTTGATTACTGGGATAAATATTCGGAATTTAGTAAGAGATTTAATTTAGAAGATGAAAAGTTTATTCTAATAAATTAAAACAACATGTACTAACGATGAGGTACTGAATAAACTTGGTTTCCAGTCAGAGAAGGTTTCTAATATTTTGTTCAGTCGTCGCAATGTACTATATTCTCAGTGTCTCTCAAGCTCATGTTTGTTTAATAATGGTTCCCATCACCATGGAAACATGAAAAATGATTCAAGAAAGAATTTTGAAGGAGGTTACAAAGGTGAGCACGTGTTTGGTAAATGATAATCCTGCGGTAAGTTTCATTTACGTAATTCATGTCTATCGACATGGTAAATGCTTTAAGTATGGTAAAGTTTAACACATCCACGTTGGTTTGTAAAACTACTGTTTGTTTCTTTTCAAGTAATGCTAAACTTCCTAATTCGGATCTGAATAATTTTGTTAAATCTGATAATCGTATTACTATACTTATTTACAAGTTCGAGTAAGTCACTTTATATTCAAAAACGATTATATTTCTACAGTAAAACTTTTCACGACATTATTGTTGACACTGGTAGAGTCAAGTTCATCATATCAGTTATAAAGTTGAAATCATCAAGTCTCAATGCTATAATGAAGTCTACTGAAGTTTATATTTTGGGTGTTATTGGTCGCAAACCGCCTGTTCTTGGATATTGTAGTTTGATGATTAGAGATGATAAATCATTAGTTATAAATTACGAATTCCTCATCACTGATTGTGGGCCGTCTATCCTGAGTCTGAAGGATTTAAGAGTGCTTCATTGTCAGCTTTCCTTATTGTTCACTGATGACGGTCACAAGGAAGTACTTGACAACTTGTTAATTATGAAATTGAAAAGCGAAAATATACACACGACTCCAAAGCTCTCTCACTCTCATGTACAAGCAAGAAACTTCAAGACCTTGAGAGTCAACACTGACTATATTACCGCTGCAAAACCCAAAGACCTTTAGAGAAGAAGAGATGATATTTTAAGCGCAGAATTATAAGATCATACGCAGAAGAAACAGTTGGAAATTTGCTGAAATAATTTTCCACGGTCTAAGAAAGGTCTGTGGTTCTTATGCAAGCCATTTACAATAATCGGATACGTTACAAAAACTCGTGTGAGTCCACTCCATTTTTCGTCGTTAGTCCTAGTACTAATGAGTACATTTCAGATCACACAGAGACTATAACCCATACACGACCGGATGGACATATGATGAACGTAAGGAGAAGTACGATCAATTACAGAAATCTGGATTTCCATTTAAGCTGTAGCGGTTTTGGCATTTGTACAAAATAGTGATTCATTTATACTTGATTTTGCACTAATTAAGAATTCTACATATAATATGTTCATTCGTGATCATCTAGTTATTCCTGACTTAAATAGCATCACTTCGGAATTTATAGTTTATAATTTAATTCAAATACTACTAATTATAATTACTTATCTATCTATGCCCGTTAACCCTCGTGCAGGAACATAAACCGACAACCAAGATTTTCCATCGAACTCGGTCCTACTCAATCCTTCCCGACTCTGTCCAGATGCTATTCATCCTGCACATGTCTGCTTGCGATTCCAGACGCAATATGTCCCTTAGCCTTCCTCTTTTTCATTCACCTTCAGGACTACAAGTTACTGCTTGTCTCACGATACAGTTTGATGATTTCCATAATATATATCCTATCCACCTCCAACAACTTTTCCTAATTCCCTCCTCAGCTGGAACCTGGCTTATTTACTGCCACAGTGGGTTGTTGCTGATGGTATCCAGTCAACAGATAGTGAGTATCTTGTGTATACAATTGTTTATGAACACTTGTGCAATTTTGATGGCAATTGTAGTAGTTCTGTGCGTTTCAATCCCGTACAGTAGAACTAACTAACTAACTAACTAACTAACTAACTAACTAACTTGTCTACACTCGCAATAAATACCATTTTTTATCTTCAGCCAAAACCTGTTCTATACAGTCGCCGTACATTATCACGATGATTGTTACCACAGGGCGAGTCAGAATAGACAATGACGTGACTTCCGCGTAAGATTTTATAAATTAGATCTTCACATCATGACATATCCACAATTTTGGGATTAGGCCTAATATTATGTTAGTAGTACTAACGAAGTAGACCATAATTCCACAGTTCTTCTATTTACGCTGTTATAATCAAGAATGTTCATGTATAGTGACAAGTTCCATTAGATTTATTTGCCAACGATGATTCATACTGTCTCAATTTGGTCTATGCACGACCGATTCTGACGGAATACGACAGGTTGATCTCAAAACTAT